TAATTCTAAAAATCATTATTTTCAAAATTTTGCATAACCTTCACCTAAGCTCAGAGCTTATCTTTACCATTTAGTCATGCTTTACATATTAACTTCATATTATCTAGCTTAAGTTCTTAAAATAATTTGAAACTTGATCGTGCATATATTATTGGAAAATGTATTTTTTTTTTCTCATTGTTTTGGGCTGTGTAGGATTATATTTTTAGATGTATATGACTTTTACGTTTTTAATGTATTTATTATTTGATTTAAAATTTTTTAATATTATTTAATTAAATATTAATAAACACTCTTACTATTGCGGCCGGCAAGAGTCAGCTGCCGCCCTAGCTGACTCAATATTCTAGATCCGCCACTTGGGGGATGCAATCCACAGATTGTGTGTAGCAGTTGAGAGCAACATTTTTCAGTGCCAGTAACATAGGCACAAGTTATCTAACAAATGAAATTTAAAGACTGATGCTTCTCAGCATTTATGTATAGAACAAACTGACAGGGCCGTTTAATTATTTTTTTCATGTGGTGAATGTTACCTTGTGTGTGGTTCTGTCATTTTTTGTTTCCTTTTTTCTTTACTTTCTCTTTGAGTACGGCCAAAAGCTAAAATTATTCTGCTGAGACCATGAAGTTAATTAAGTGCTACTTAGTTAATGGGATGAGTTTTAATGAGCTGCTTGCCATCATAAATTCATAAATGCGAGTATATTAGGAAGGGCTAATTACTGACTGGGAGAAATTAAATCTAAAAATTTCAGGTAACTGATGGCTGATGTTAAAAGCCATTGTGTGGACCAAGTGGAGCTGTACTTGCAAAAAGAGATAGTTTAGTTGATAAATTTATAGGTCATACTAATCTTGCTTGATGTATAATAGTAAAATTTATTCTTGGTTACTTGTAATTGGGTACACAGTTGGGGGACTCGGGGGGAATATGTATCCATATCTTCAATCGTGTAACTTCCAAACTTTAGATAAGCAGACATGGCCAGGAAGCTAAACACAGGTTGAGGTGAACACGTGTTTCTTACTTTTTGGCGTGAAAAAATTGTCATCTGTATTTAACAAAATTGTAGTGGCAATAACATGGTATTCAAGTAGGGCCAAGTGGCATGTTTTTTATTACTAGTTTTTACATTATCATTATTGAGCAATCTATTTCCCTAATAATTGGCTCCCTGCACACTGCCTGCCCCAAGGACAGCACGCTGTGATGGCATAAATGTTGAAAAATGATCCATTAATTGGCTGTCAAAAGGTGGTGAGTTTGAAAATCTACATAAGTTTGCTTTTTTCTTTCTATTTTTTTGCTTATCTTTAAATGTATTTTGGCACTTGAATAATCTTTTAGCTTCCTTTACAGCTTCATTTTTGGTTTGTTTCATAATCTGTATGTACATTAAAATGTCATTCAAATCTTTCTAAAGTATTATTCACAGCGTGTTTCAGGGGGTATCATTCTTGCACCAGAAGGAATTAATGGAAGCGTATGTGGGACCCGGGATTCCGTGGAAGGGGTTCTCGCATTTATCCAAACTGATGAACGCCTAAAGGGACTTAGACGCGTTGAGTCACCTGTTAGTCCTGAGGAAGAAGCTATTCATCATGGACATGCAAGTAGTTCTCCTCTGGCTGCTGGGGAGGATGCTCCCTTCCGATGGGACCATGTGAGGGTCAAGCTAAAGAATGAGGTAGTACTTACTGACCTAAAACTATAAGATCAAGCGATTTATTTTGAGCTTAAGTTTTTCCTTTTTGGATATTTTTTAGGTCTTCTTTCAGCAATTTTCAGTTCTAAAAGTTATAAATTTTGTATTGTTCATAGATAGTTACACTTGGAATGCCTTCTGTGTCACCTGTTGAAAGAGTTGGAAAGTACGTAAGTCCAAAGGATTGGAATGCATTGATTAGCGATCCAAATACTGTAAGTGGCTTTTCTCCATTGCAACTGCTGCTTTCTAGTTTATTTTACATGGATGCTTACTATCCCTTAGCATTTTAAATTACTATTGATATCAATGATATTCTGAAATTGGTCTTAAAAGTAATTACTTTTTAAGTCCTTGTTGGATTGGATTTGTTTGGAGGCTTTCATGATAGATACTGACACCTCTTTTTATCTCGAAAGTTTCGAGCAATATATATTCGATGTTCTCCTCATGTCAACATTGGGCAGTTTTCCACTGGGAAACATCTCCTTACTATTATACTTATGTACCATAGAGTACACCTAATTTGTTATATTCCATTTACAAACGTAATAGGCTTTGCAACTGTGATTCTGTGTCTTTCTAACTTTATCATTGACTTAATTTTACAAAATTTAGGTGGTGATTGACGTACGCAATGACTATGAAACTAGAATTGGGAAGTTCAAAGGGGCAGTTGATCCTTGTACAACAGCATTCAGAGAATTTCCATTTTGGGTGGAAGAACAGTCCAAGTTGGTTGAATCAAAGGACCGGATGGTGTCTGCAGGTTCAATTGAAACCACAGAAAAGCAAGTTGAGGAAAAGGAAAAGAAAATGCCACCCCGGGTGGCAATGTATTGTACTGGTGGGATTCGGTGTGAGAAGGCTACGAGTTTTCTCATAAGCAAGGGCATTAAAGAGGTGAAATTTTTTCTTTTATCATCTTTCTGAGTTTCTTAAGAGTTAACATTTTGGTTGATGTTCATCATATGGCAGTCATGTACTTCAATTATATTCCATATTGTTTTTTAGTAAACGTCATTTATGGCATGCATACAGTGTTTCCTGCACACTCAAGCTCATGCGTGGATTTTTGATTGGTTAACCTGATGTGTCCCCTTCATTGGTGCTTGACTTGGGTCTACATTCAAGATTCTTGAATTATACCATGAACCTTGATCGATACTAGTACAATTTGTACCAGTCATTACCCAAATGATCTCATTCATGTAGAACTCACCTGATTTTGATTCCAGGTTTATCATCTACAAGGTGGAATTTTGAAATATCTTGAGGAAGTGCCTAGAGAAGAGAGCCTTTGGGAAGGAGAATGCTTTGTGTTTGATAAGCGAGTGTCAGTTGAACATGGGCTGGCCCAAGGAACTTATAAACTTTGCTACGGATGCAAACAACCAGTAAATGATGCTGACATGGAAGCTCCAGAATGGGAATATGGAGTTTCCTGTCCATACTGTTATTCATCAAAATCAGAAGAAGAGAAAGAGAGGGCAAGAGCTCGACAAAGGCAGTTTGAGGGATGGGGTATAATTGGTGGTCCAGACAAAGGCCGCAAACCCTTAAAAATAATCAAAGCGAGAGGTGCTAAGGAGATGCCAAGTTCAATATAGATGTTTCAAAATCAGTTTAAGAGAGGGAATGGTCGCCTCTCCGTTTTGGCTAATCACTGTGAAAGGACCAGTTCCTAAGCAGAGACTGTTTTCTTTGCCTCATCCTTGCTTTAGTTTCAGATAGTGGCATGTTCTGGAGATGTTACAGTTTGATCGAAAACTAGGCTAAATTGTCAGAAAATTGATCCCTAAAAATGTGTAATCCAAATCCATTTGGGTTGGATCATACCTCAACAATCCTTTTAGATTTTGGTCGCTCTTAAGAGTTCAGTTGCTGTTGAAGTGCATCCCTCCATTTATGTGGATGTCTAATTTTGAGTGCTTTGCCAACAGTTACTAGCGCAAGAGGTAAGCCTTCACATTCTTTTCCAACTAGGTTTGCTATGTGCCCTTCACAACCATGGTGTCATTAGAATTCCTTACAACATTCTTGAAGAGTTTCGTAGCGTTAGAAAATGGGAACTTTTCAATGTTGATTTCTAGTGACGCTATGTTGTGAAGTATGGTAAAGTAGTAGAAGAATGTGTAGGCTTACCTTTTGCACTAGTAACTGTTTGTAAGCACTCAAAAATAAAGTTCCACATAAAAGGAGGGATGCTCGTCAAGAGCATAATTTGGTATAAATATTTGAGATTACACTGCTTTCTAGCGGTCAATATTTTGCTAAATCAGCCCATTCTTGATCAACAACTGGATGCTATTCTTTCATGAATTGATATTACATAAGGATCATTGCTTAGTATTGGATTCGTACTTGTTGAAGTTTGTCGCAGTTACTTTGGGGATAAATGTTGCTAGAAATGGTTTTTGCGGATTGATGGTGAATCGTTGTTATATATTATAGAATGATGGATTTTCATTTTGGGGTAAATGTTTCTGAAAATGGATTTGGTAGATTTGTACTCGTTGAAGTTTGTCGCAATTTTTTGGGGATAAAGGCCCAACTCTCACTTGTAGCAACTGGAGTGTATTAGAAGAGAGAAGAAAGATTTTTCGTTCATAAACAACTGTCCATGTCTTGATTCTTTTGTACACAATTTTTTAGCTCTTTAGGTCTGTGAAACACTAAGCTTACATTGTTTTCCTCCGCCAGTCTTTAAATTTTGCTGTATAACCAGTTCTTTTTATTCTAGTTGTTTTAGGAATTGTTGTATCTACGATTCAATAATTGAATAATTGGTATTCTTTCTATAACCCCTCGCTCATTAAATAAAAAAGAAGAAAATTGTGCTATATACCAATTATTGAATCGTAGATATTAGCTCATGGTTTATACAGTCTTACACTCCCTGCACATGGAGGGGGTGCACGAATATTATATTACACGTGAGTCCCCTTCTATGTGTAAGTCTGTGTATACACCATTGTGTAAACGTAGCACAACCTTATATAATAATCTGTTTATTATCTAAAGATAAATTTATTGAAATTTAATTTCAGTCAAAGTCAAACAATTAATATTAATCACATCTTTTATAGGTTTCACAATTTTTCAACTACACATTTCAGAAACTTATATTACAATATATTAAAAAAATCTAATTTTAATTCTCATAAAACTAAAATCGGCAAATTATTTTAATTTAAAGGGTAATCTTAGCTCTTGTTTGCCTGTCATTAAAGTAGGAAAATGAGTTTTAAAATAGTGCATTTGCAGATGATGCGTTGATTAAGAAGTAAAAATAAATAAATAATAATACTATATTCTAAAAATGTGTGGTTGAAATTGAGTTTGAGAGGAAAAAAAAGAATTTTAAAATAATGGTAGACAAATAGAGGCTTAGATGCATTATATTTTATTTGCAGTTAAAATTTTCAACTTTTACTCGTTATAACACTATTCTTAACTTTTTTCGACACATTCTTATCTCAATTAACACAGCAAATATCTCCAAAAGTCCCTTGAGAAAGCATCGAATGAATTTTTTACAAATCATATTTTCAGAAAAAACAATAAATACAAAAAGTGCATCAAAAGTTTTTTCTCATTTTATAACACAATTTTTAGACAGTATTATCGTCAAGAATGAGATTTGTTAATTAACAAAATGTTGGGATAAAAATTTGATGAAAAGTTACAACCATAAGTATATTAATGATTAAAAGTTAATTAAAATGTGATGTTGGGCATTTTTTCTTTTTAAAACATATTGCCCTGCACTTGTATCGCAATTAAATAGTAAATAAGCACTCATAAGTTTTTCCCAAACGGAGCCTTATGCTACTCCAGATGGCAAATCCTCACACTACTGAGATATTCTCTAGTAGCATATCGACCGCACGATCAAGTCGGATCGAGTTACACCGCCGCTTCAGCCCCGATTATCTCCGTCGAAGCGGCAACTAAAACTAGGGTTTCAGTTTTCTTGTAAGACGAGCTTACCGAACCTCTTCCTGCATTCGATTATCTGATTCTGTAAGGTTAATTTCGCATGCCCTTTTTGATTTTCAATTTATGTGTGATTTGTAGAAAAAATCGTCTTTTTGTTGTTGTTGTTGTTGTTAAGGTTGATTTTCTTTAATGTTTTTGCCCCCGAGTTAATATTCTTATTCATATTTTCATTTTTAGATCTTTATGTATGAATTGCGTCTCTAATCCCTAAGAATGTCTTTCTTGAGGAGAGGGGGAAGGATATGAGAATGTCTGTGACTCGTAGAAACGGATCATTATGGGTGAAAGGTTTCAATTTGATTTGGCTTCATTCTTTTTTAGATCTGAAGCTCCAATTCCGTGAACCGTTGTTACTTCCTTTCTGCAAAAATGTAGTACTGACTCCAGTTTTTTTTGGGACTTTTGTTGTCTTTATATTTGAAGGTTTAAGTTATGCGCGATTGTGCTGTTTAAGAAAGCTTTTCTAATAAATTTTGTTTCGTTCGTGTAGAGACTTTATCTTGAAAGACTGAGTTTGTCATGTTTCCAGGTTCTTCTTTTGCTTCTGATAGATTGTGTGTGATGGAGAAGGAGCTAAACGAGCTTTTTGAGGCAGTGAAGAAGGCTGCAGATGCAGCAGAGAATTCACCTGGAGAGGAGGCACGATGCCTTGATGCATTAGAACAGCTCAACAAGTTCCCCATCAGTTATCATCTCCTTGTATCCACACAGGTAATATTGAGTTTCTGATTTTTCTGGTTTATTATCTTTCTACCTTTCAGGAAATATTGTTACTGTTGATTCGCTCAATAACATTCTATGTCATAACCAGTGTAACTGAGTTTTGAATTTGGGGCACTAAATGTCATCTTATAAAGGGTGTGATTTGGAAAATGTAAATCAAATGTTAAATTGGGATAATTAACTGATATTGTCCTTAGATGCCATTACAGAACAAAAGTAGAGCCATTTTAACCCATTGACTTGCCTTCAAACATTTACCACCAGGCAGTGCAATTTTGAGCCCATTATTGGCACAGCTGGCCAGATCTGAATCCTAGAAACCACAAGAGTCAATGTGACATTAACTACAAACAATAGTGAGTTAAAAGTTATTGTTTTTTCATCCTGTGACTAAATCAATGTTTTTCCGTATTGAAAATTCAACTGGTCCTAAAGGCGCATCCTACTCCAAGTATAAATGACGTGTAATGACCCCAACTTTTTAATAGATGAATAGAAGTTATGGTGTGACCATAATCAATCTCCAGTATTGGCAAAACTAGTGTCAAACAAATTTGTTCAGCAACTCAAATTTATTATCCAATTCCAAGTAATTAATATATTTTGACAAACTTTATGCATTAAAACTTGCTTTAAGTTTACAATTTAATCCATACACTCAATATTAGATTTGGCTGTCCGTATTTGCATGAGTTATTTATAAGATATTGATTTATCTTTTGTCTGTCCGGTCTTTGTTAGGACAGTGTTCTGCTCAGTCATCTATACTATAGCCATATTTTCTAGTATCGAATCTCTTGCCTTTTATTAACCAAGAAAATTCATCCTCCTGATGTATAAATTTTACCTTTCGCCTCGATGAGTCAGATTCCGTGGCGGAGTGACATTAAAGCATCAAAAGAAGAGAAAAGGGGGACAGACAACAAAGAAATGTAAAATGGGGTGGGTGATATTGAAATTCCACCTATGTATTCTACAAAGCTGGTTGCCTGGTCCAGTGTTGAAAAGTAAACTTAGATTGATTTCAGACAATTCAAATATGCCTTCTCCTCTACTCATAATTCTGCCTTAAGAAGCAATTCTAGTTGATGTATCCTTACGTCCAAGCAGATGTGTTCCATATGAATTGGAACTTGGAAGTTCCAATCAGACCCCTAAAAGTTTTCAACCACTTGTTCATCCAAGTGCCTCTTTTTTATATTTATTGCTCAGTTCTGAGATGGAGAACTTTTTGTCAGTACTGTTTTCCCTACCTCCTACTGTGGGTTTACAAGTAAAAGTGTCCCAAATCTAAGATATATGCGAATGAGTACGAGGTTATAATATATTCATCTTAGTTATTTGAGGAATTGCAATGCTAGTAATGCGCACTAATGATTTGATGAAACGCTTGTAGAATTGTTGTAATTAGAAGTGTTCAAATGAGATTCAAAACCATCTGTCTTGATTTTCGAAGCCTGAAAACTTTTAACTGAAATTGATGCACATACCAGTTTAGTTGGTTCACTGTTGCAACGAATTTTTGTCAGACTCATGGTCAAATATAGTTTCTTACATTCAGTTTCATGTTGCATTTTGGATTCGAATAGATTCACGTGAATAAAATTGACAACCTAATAAAGGAGAGAGGGTATGGAGGTTGGGTATGGTGGTGTCAGGTTTGGTTGAAGCCTTGTTAGGTGGCAGTGGTGACTTGTATAGTTAGTGTACACTGGAATTGTAGCAAAGGAATGACGGTAATGGTATAGCTGAAAGTAGTTATTGGGTTTTTTTGTTTACTTTTGAAATTTCTCTTTTCCAAGTGAATACCTAGTTTGAATTCTCTGCCCATGGAAGGGGCAAACAAACTCATTTAGTTCAGCCTTTGATGCTCGACCTCTTCGAAATTGTCGGATTACCTGTGTCGGACACGACACTACATGGGTATGAGTATGGGATATGTGTTGGATCCTTCAAGTTTCTGCCGGACACTTCACCGTTTTTACTTCTTCTTTCTTCTTTTTTTATTTTCCTTTTCTTTTCCGTTTCTGCTCTGTATAAACCTAATGTCGTCTCTGAGAGGATAGAGAAAGGCGATGGCACTAGTTTTTCCCTCCTTTTTCTTTCTTTTTTCTTCTCATTTTTTTCTTTTTTTCCCCTTCTTTTTCTCTTTATATTGGTGGTTTAGGATTTTGTTTGTATAAAATGAAATTGAGTTATGTAGAGTGCTACCTAATGCTCCACTAAGTCTAAAATGCAATCAAATCCCTCATTTTTTATTTTATATAACATTTAGTAATTAACTTTCCATAATTGAAAACTAAACACCAAAATTCTATTTTATTCGTCTTAACCTCTTATTCAATACTCATTTCCTTCTTTGCGAAGATTCTATTCTTTCGACTTTGTTTCGTTCTTATTCTCCTTTCTCAGAAAAGGGGGACATTACCAAAGTAGAAAATTACTAACAATTGTTTTTTGTTCATTCAAAATGACATCTTGGGTTAGTCAAAAAATTGAAGCTTGAAAGACGTACCCACATACTCGTGTCTGAAATTTGGACTCTTTTTAGACATGTCCCCGTATCCTATATTTTAAAAAATTAAAGATCCGACACTTGGATATGTATCCGTACCCGTTACCCGTGTCCGATGCCGAGCATCATGGAGTTCAGCAGTGATTAGAAGTTAATAACCTGATGGTAGAAGGTAGTGGGCATCGAGGTAACTTGCCATCCCATGCTGAATTTTTATATTTTATTTATAATTGTTGAAAGCTGCCTGAGTGCAAAGCAAGAACGTCCTGCATATTAGTTTTTGGGCTCCCCTCATCTCATCCAATGATTTTGTTCTGGTTTGTAAGGTGATGTTTATATTGTAATTGCTGAAGAAAACATAAAATCTTAAGAAAAAATTATTACTAAAGTACTCATTTTCTCCAATTAAAGGTAAATAATGATGTTTGCTGTACTTTTTAATAAATTTATAATGTTGTGCACCTAATCATCAGGGGGCCTTTGGTGACTATGTTCACAGTGTTCACATAATAACATTTCATCCTTAATCATGGTAACACAGGTTGATGGCAAACGGTGTCTTGAAACTTGAAACCAATTCTTCTTGTCATCCTTCTATGATATGGTCTTTCTGATTTATCGGCCTACTTCCGAAGAAAAATGTGTCTGTCTGTTCTACCTAGTTCAAGAAATATTCAGTGCATCAGGTAGAGAGATTTTAATCTTTAAATGTGGTCCAGATAACAGAAAACATATGGACACTACGCGTTGCTATTTTCATGGATGTTTTCATGATTTTATTGTTTTGGACGCATAGTTTTCTGGCAGGCTTTCCCTGTTTCCCCGTAAAGTTATTCTGGTTGACGTTACTTCTAAGATTTTCTTAATTTTTATTTCCCTTGCTTGTTCTCCCCATTCCTAACAGTAAAAATTATGTTTCAGGTTGGGAAACGCCTCCGACAACTGACGAAACATAAAAGCCACAAGATTAAGGTTTTGGCTTCTGTTGTGGTTGACGTGTGGAAGAATATAATTGTCAAGGAAACAATGAAAAACAAGAATGGAAGTGTTGATAACGATTCTGTGAAAGCTGAACCAACGGTTGCTGTAATTGATGGGAGCAGGAAGTTTCAAAGGACAAGCTCTGTGAAGATTGAGCAGGGGAACTCAACAGACAATGGGAATGGGAAGTTGAAGAGAAGTAATCCGACTAGTACATCGAACTCTGAAAAGTTAAGGAAGTCGGAAACTTCCAGGAATGGGAAAAAAGTTGAGAGGGTTGATGTCCAGACATCAAAGAATGCTGCCGGAGAATCTGTACAGAATGAGAAAAGCATTAAAGAAGAAAAGCCGAGTTCTGATAGGCAAAAACTGGCATCAGACCCCGTTGGTCCTCCAAAGCTGACTTCTCCTGTTTATTGCAAGGACCCAGTGAGGGACAAAATCCGGGAACTTCTTGCAGAGGCTCTGTGCAAAGTCTCGAGCGAGGTCGATGGTGATGATCTAAGAGATCAAGTGTGTGCATCTGATCCTTATCGAGTGGCTGTTCTTGTGGAGACTGCAATGTTTGAAAAGTGGGGTAAATCCACTGGTGCTCAGAAGATGAAATATAGATCGATAATGTTCAATATTAAGGATCCAAAAAATCCAGATTTTCGGAGAAAGGTCCTCCTCGGGCAGTTTGAGCCACGTGCCATTCTCGAACTTGCACCAGAAGAAATGGCCAGTGATGCGAGGCAAATTCAGAATGAGAAAATCAAACAAAAAGCACTGTTCGAATGCGAGCGCGGAGCAGCGCCTCAGGCCAGCACTGACCAATTCACCTGTGGTAGGTGCAAGAAGAAGGAAACAACATACTACCAGATGCAAACTCGAAGTGCAGACGAACCAATGACCACATTTGTGACGTGTGTAAACTGCAATAACCGCTGGAAATTTTGTTAGATTTGGAAATTTCCAATTTAGATGATTAGCTAGCTAGGTAATTTTTCTTGTTTTACTATGATTTTTTATAAGGTGTATTTTCTCTACGCCTGCACCTGAGCAGAAGGCTAATTAGTTGTAGGAGAAACTATCGTAAGGACCTCATATTTGAGTTATTTATATAAATTTACTCTGTTGTGATAATTTGTGAAGCTGCAAAAGCTGTTTATGATCATGTTTGGCTATCACAGCTCAGATTTCATGGGACTTTCTACTAAAATTTACCATCAAAATGTATAGAAAAACTTATATTTAAGAAAACCAAACAGGGGCATACTACAGTAACGAAAATGCATTCTCTTGAAACGCTAGAAGGAACAAAACTATCTCAAAAGAACATCGTATTATTTTATTTGTAATGGAAATTCTCGTATTACGTGTAACATCAATCAACTTCATTTAAACAAAGTATATTACTAGATCCAAAGGATAATTCTACATCATTCTTAAAAGCTCCAAATCCCAAATATCCAGTATCTAGTAAGGGGAAAAATTAAAAGGCAAAAGGAAAAATAAGTAAATTATAAATAAGCACTTAAATTATTCATCAATAGAAGAAGTGCCTTCTTTTAAAGCCTTGAAAACTCTAGAACTTCTGTCGAAGATTTGGGCCCTTCTGTTGTAATCAGTTGCCTCTTTTCCTTCATCTTCCCCCATAATTGCTTCTTTTTCTAAGCACTCCAAAAGCTCAACCACCCCGCCACTCTGTCTGCAATTCTCTTTCCATTTCCCTATAATCTCTTCTTCCATATTCATCTCCTGCAAATTCCTCTCCAGTTCCCAACCTACTGTGCCCCCTTTACAGCACTTCAAACTCCCGAAGGCGTTAAAATTTATAGAAACTTTTGGCTTAAGATGAATGGAAGAATAATTACTTATTTTTGGTTTAAGTAAAATTGGTGATTGAAAAGGATGAGTTTTGACATGACTAGGTAGAAATGCCTCCATAGCTTATATTAATAAAATGAAATTTAAGGAATTCAAAGAATACTGAAGTTTATATAGAGTTTGGGGGCGTAATGGGTTTGCTCCACGTGTCACTGGACAAGTTGAAGACGACACGTGACATTTAAGATGCACGTGGCAGACAAAGGATGGGCTGCTAGAAGATTCCTTGTACAATTTTGTCATGTTTACTGACTTATAGATTGGCAACGCTTTAGGAAATCCCAATAAATGTAGTATAAAATGTTGAACTGTAACCTTGAGGGCTCCCACCATTTCGTTCCTAGAGTTTTGTGTGAAAGATAAATCGCGAAATGTGCTCCAACAAGTCAGGAAACAGGAGCTATCTGTACACTACACCCACAAGGAGTTCAATTCCATGTCTCAGAAATCGAACCCTCACACTGCGACTGCCAACAAGATGTAAGATAACAACAATCATATCCTTTGCACCACTAGGCTATGTACTCGGGGGCCATTAGGAATTCCCAATAAATGTCATATAAAAGCTCACATGTTAGGAATTTTACAATTTTAGTGGCCAAGCAAAAGAATTTTGAATGGATATCAGTGGTTTGCGTTATCAATCAACGTTGAAAATTAAGAACTCCTTCATTTATAAATATGTGAAATTGATATGAACACTAAAATTAGGATTTTATTTGTAAGACCGTAGCGTAATAAAAATAGAAGTAAAAGAATATATAAACAGAGTAAATAATTAGGTGATTGTTTATGTCAATATACCAATATACTGACAACAATTTTCGTAATAAATTATAAAAATATTCAAAAACATAGTATAACAAAAAATAACATGGTGTCAATATAAACGCATTATTCTAAAAAAATATCGAAAGCGATTTCCGATTATCACCTTAACATTAAAAGTTCATTAAAAATTTGAACAAGAAATAAATAATTTCAACAATATTATTTGAAATAAAAGATGCTAATGTTATTTTTACTTATTTATGTGCTGTCCCATTCAACATGTGTAGTCGATTTGTAGATGATCCATTTGACTATTATTTTTTGAATTTACAATTCTTTGAAGCTCTATCTCAATAGTAATAGAAATTAAAAATTACCAGAAGATCGAACTGTTTTAGGCTTTTAGTAGAGTCATAGTCCCAATGTCCAACCATTGGTACAACGCAAAAACACAAGAAATCTGAGGGTCACAAAATATTACTTTAGTATTAAAGTAAGAATAATGCTAATATCACAAGTTGTTACCATCAAGCCACGTATTTGGCATTCAAATGTTGGGCATATAGAAAAGTTGTGCACAAAAGTTTTAAAAAGGCATCAGCCTTGCGTTCAGAATTGCACGAATCTTGCGCAAAGATAACTTTAACAAAATAAAATGTGCCGCGCATCAAATACATCTTCTTTCGAAGATCAAGAACCTAACCTTTCGTTGCAAAGAACAACACAAAATCAAATACCACAAATGAGAGGGGTCAATTGAGGAAATTCATTCTGTATTTTGAAGTTCCTTTTCAGCATCGACCTCGTCTTCCCGCATGTCATGCTCTTCATCCCAGTAATTACATATCATACTGCACACAAAATTGAGAGCAATGTTAACTGCATCTGGTATTCTCCTAGCAAAATTTAAACTTAAACCTCTATCGTGTAGGAACAGTGGTTACCCCATGCTTGAAAAACACGTCCTAAATAAGCATATGAAAAAAAGTTTATTCACTACAATTAGAACCCCTGACAACTTGCATAATTCAGGAAGCAGGACAAATCAATGACAACGAGTCACTCAAAAATTAGACAAAGTTGCTTCATATGAGGAAAGCACGAGCAGGCAGTGAACTTTCTTCTTCTTAACTTTGACGCCTACTGAGCTCTTTCTTTACTCAACCATGTAATTAAAAATTAAATGAACTTTTGCTTCTAAATATCGGCTGGAAGTTCTCATGCGTAATACCACCTACTGACATCACATATGTTTGAAATTTGTCCTAAGGAAGCACCCATAAACACGAAGATTCCAGCAGATTATTTAATTTCCTTATGGCCATTCTGTAAACCTTATTGAGATTAATTGTGAATCATGAATGAACATACACAATATTTATGATTATATCATGGGAAAGAATAAAAGTGATTACTCTAGCAACAATGTTAAGCAAGTTCCACATAATTTTATCAGAAAGAAAATAATAACAAGTACTTCAACAGCCATCCAACCTAATAGCCAGTAGACCTATCCAAGTCTATTAGAACTGAACAACTTCAGAAACAGGATAACTCAGGGAAGAGGTATGCTGAAATAGCATTTCAGAAAAAGGATGAAGAATGAGAATTCTATTAAAATATCTCATGGCTAGAGCAGATAAATCCCATTACACAGTTATGGATTCCTCTCTCTCCATAAGTTTCCTTTTTTCCCTGCAATCTTTTTACTCATAAGACATTTCATCCAGAGCAGAAGGCCAGAGAGTTTCATGTCTCACCACACATATTTCGATCATTTGTTATGATTCTCTTTTTAGCTTGTTGAATAAACGAACTTTCTTTAAGCAACAATAGAATTGTTAATAGACAGGTGAAAGAGCAAGAATTAACGTAAAATAAGGAATTGATGAATCATAACTTTAAGTGGCTTACAATCAAAGTCCTTATTCTGGTTTGTCGTAGAGAGAGCTTTCTTTACACTTATTCTGGTTTGTCGTAGAGAGAGCTTTCTTTACACTACGTTAGAAGGATAGATAATAGATACAGGTGAGAGAACAAGGATAAATGTAAAACGAGGATAATCGAATCATAAATCTCCATCCTCATGCAGTCTAGAATAGCAGAGAATCTATTATTTTTCAGTGATTTTTTCCCTCATAAGAAGAAACAAATGCGAATAGGGTACAGAATATCTCCTACTCTGTACAGAACATGATATGAATTATTGCATTCATTATCAAAGCAGAGTCCCAAAAATAGTCTGCTTAAGTTGATCACAAAATTCAATTATCAGTACATCACCATTTAAACATTAACAGTCATTGAGAGAAGCCTGTTTCAAAATAAGAGTATTCTGATCTGATTCACAATGAGAAATCCAATAAAAAATTTCCATAACTTAATGCTAAATACTCCCAATTAAATTGGCTGGTGCAATAGTAACTGCTTCACATGCAAGTGATACAACACATTAAACAATTAAATGGATAATACAGAGCAGGATCAGAGACAAATTGTAAAGAACTCACAGCAAACGTGATGAAAGAGCACATGGACCCAGCAACACCAGATAATTTTCTCTTCCAGAAGGCTTCTTTGTACCACAAAAAATTGTCCTTAACCGCCACTACTGGATTTTTCAGGGCATCTTTTGCCAAATTCTCGGAACCCATTTCATTCTTTAGCGAAAAGCATCTGAACCCATCAAAATCTCTGCTTGGAGAAAATTTGGCATCTGGGTATAGACTGTCGAAAATTCTCTTCATATTGGGCAGTGAAGAGAGATGGGTTCTTGCAGAAATTAGCCGTGCACGAAACGTGAGAATTTGGACGGTTGATGGGTTATCTGACGTGGGTTTAAATGCAGTCAGATGAAGATATCTGTAAACAAATCTTGATGACGAGGGTTTCGACATTTTCTTCCCTTCTTTTGGTGTTTTCTATAGATGGATATGGATTTAGATTCACGAGATCACAAACTCGAAGTACAATTGATCGCCTCGTTTGAAGAAAATCAATCAACCCGTTTCTTGAAGATGTATGTGTGCCAAATATATGGAGTGTTGCAAGCAGAGTTGGGTGACTCGTTGCTCAGTTCGTTGACTCGTCACTCAGTCTTCTTCTTTTTTCTTTTTTCCATTTTCTTTTTCTCTTTCTCGTCTTTATGAGTTGGGCGAGTTCATACGAACAATAATCCATAATCAATTAGGATAATAAGAATTGATTTATCTCTCTGTCTTTTGTGGAACCGTGAAGTATTACAAGGATCGCATTGAGTTAAATTTAACCGATAGTGCTAGTGGTACATAATGGTGTATCTGAGCGTGTACACCTCTCTCACAGGGAGTATGGAATCCACCCGAATAAAAAACACTTATTCGAGTGGACCCCACACTCTATGTGAGAAAGGTGTACATCCTTATGTACACCTCATTATGTATCAGTGCATTAATTCAAATTTAACAAGCATTGTCAAAGATCTTAAATAAATAAATTTATTTAACTTTAAGGTGATTTGTATTTTCAAGTAGACAGGACCGTGAAGTATTAGAAGGATCGCATTGAGTTAAATTTAACTATCATTGTCAAGGATCTTAAATAAATAAATTTATATAACTTTCAAATAAGGTGATTTCTATTTTCGAGTAGACAGAGACTTCATAATATTTATAATAATACTAATATTTATATTTTAACATGATATTTAAGATTAAAATTTATGATTTAACTTGTTCGATGGACATTTTTTTCGTTAAACCGTGGTTTTAAATCGAACCAAACCGAAAAAGGTGGTTTGGATTGGTTTGGTTTCGAAATTGAATTGGTTTGGTTTGGTTTGAAAAAATTTCAAACCGCTTTAAGTGGTTTGGTTTGAAAATTTGTCACAAACCGTCCAAACCGAACCGTGTGCACCCCTAGACAGAGTACTCCTTTTAATTCCCGACATTGTTTATTTAAGGAGCCATGCATCGCCCCCTGTTTTGACAGGCCATTGTCCAAGGGTAAAAACTCTAATTTAAGAAAGTTGTAAACGTGTGTTAATTTATATGTGGTGATAATTTCTAAAAGGACCTTGCTTAGTGTATAGGAAAAGCCTTGATTGGACCAATACAAGGTGGACGTGGCATCATTCCATTGGAGTTATACAATTTTTTTTTTAAATCAACTGCACATGTGCTGCACTGACAAAGTAAGTTATTCCCTTGCACAAGGGGAATAATCCTTTCTAAAATCAGGAACTTGCACTAGAGACACCAAATATACATACGATATAATAGAACTTTATTAGGATGTTGATGGCTATGCACTTGACGACAATGAGATTGAAGAATCTGTATTAGGAGTTTAGATTTTGTTTCTGCTTTGTAACATAATATAAACATTATTTTCGATAACAATATGAATTTAAATATGCAAGAAAAGGAAACGATGAAAGAGAGGTTAATAAAATTTTGTTACTCAAATTCTTGGTACAAGATCAAAGAAAACGGAATTTATCTATAGATTCATATTATAGCATTTCTCCTAAGTCACAATTTTTGAAACTTGAAAGGATCTCATTAATATGAAATTACATAAAATAATAATAATAATAATAATAATAATAATAATAATAATAATAATAATAATAATAATAATTGAATAAGTTCAAAAGATTCTAGCAAAAATACGCCTGGAACAAATAGATCATTTTAGGATGTTATAGGACTTCGAATGTTCTTGGGACCGGATCCCTTGATTCATACAGAATCGTCCCCTTTTGACATTTGTTTGTTTGCTTTCGTCCACCCTATTAGTCCAGACTCCTACGGGAGGCACCAGTGGGGGATTTTCCGCAATGGGCGAAAGCCTGATTACAATAATAAATCCCTTCTCTCATACCACATTAGCACTTAAGCTCAGAACATTTTTTTGAAACAATACACTCACACTCTAGGTTAAATATAAGCTAGTTTAGACTTAGCTCCAACCCCACTTTGAACCGCATGACATCCGACGAAGTATCGTTCATTTTTTTAATCCAACAACCAATGTCTAAGACTGACATTATTTGAAAATCTTCTCTAACAATATTCCATCATTTACAGAAGAATGAAGTTTTTAAAAAATCTCTAGTATAATCTCATTGAACTTATGTATAGATGAAATTGTTTCATGGACTTGAACATTCAAATATTTTAAATGTTGGCAACGATCATACGGCAAACTCAAAACTCAACGCACGTAGTTTTAAAAATCCTTTCGTGCTTATAAGAACTGATACATGAATAGGTTGTGTCCGTTATCTTGATTTTTCGTGAATGTCTTAATTTGCTAGTCAAATTACTTCAAAAATACGACTCCATCTCCGATACTCATATAGATAGATTTATTAAGAATGCTTACATAATTAAAGTATGCTGTAAATAAATATTTATACATCTTTATTAAAAGCTAAATAGCTTATGATGCGCAAGAAGTGAGATAAACATGTTAATCAATTACTTTTGAAAGTGAAGTATGGAAGTTAATAAATCAATGATTAAATAATTTATAAAATAAAAGAAAACAAACTATCAATATTTTATTGAATATTCAAAAGCTACGAACTACGACGTTTTTCATCCTTTATATAGAAAATAATTACATAAAAAGTAAATAACTTTAATAACAAGCTGTTACATAAAATAGCTTGTTAGAATGCCTTATTACACGAGATGATTGTATCACGTATCATCACCATGCTAGATAATTGTAATGCATGTACTAATGCACAATACTTAAGTATTGTCAGTAAGGAAAGTGTATCTTGATCGAATCAAACAGTCATTTGTTGCTAAAGTATCAGACAAATTGTTTAAATATTTTGATTGGAGAATTGGGCATCTTGACCAAAACAACTACCACTGAACCTATCAAATGAGAACTAAAAATCTGATGAGTGCCTACCTCAGTACCCATATGAGAAAATTAAAAATCTCACATGAATTTGGGGGCTATTGTACTTCTTCATAAAGTCCATAACCTAATATAAATGATCAGCCTAGACTTCGAACGACTGGTATTGTGTTATTATTTTATTGTCACCTTATTGTTATTGCTAGCACATCGTTAGCGATAGTACTTCTAGTCGAAAGGCCTGCTTGAGATGAACTGGCCATCGTAGTGTCACTGGTGGACGAACGAAAAGCGACAGAAAAATGATGAATTAATCACTCAAACCCAAGAGACGGGATGGTACTTCATGTGCTATTGCCAGAAAAATTCTGAAAAAATATTTTCACAAGTAAATATTAGTTAGTTGCAAGAGAGTCATCGAATAAAATGATAGCTCGTCGTGAGATGTGAAATAATAACGTGTTTATTAAGGTAGATTATGCTAAAGTCGACATCATTAAAAGAGAAAAATAAGTTAATTTTATTCATTTTGTTCCTTTGAACTACATAATTGTCAGTTGCATCACGTAGCAGATTTACAACAAATGATCGATAATGGAGTATCATTTAGATTTTCTCATCTGTTTAGCTTTCAAGTAACTTGAATAAAGTTGAAACTCGTGTAGAAAATTATAAGCACTGTTTGATAACCATTTTTTAAAACTCGTTTTTTCTTAAACTTATTTTTAACCATGTATTTTCACAATAAAATATGTTACACGTAAATTCGAAAATTCTTCTTACTTATTTTTAACCACATATTTTCTTACTTTTGGTCCCATTATTTCAAATTATAATGTGTGAAATCGTATTTTTTGAAGCATGGGTGTTTGAAAAGAAGATTTTTTTTTATTTACGTGTAATATCATTTTATGGAAGATTGTGTGGTTAAAAATATGATAGAGAAAAATGAATTTAGAGCCTGTTTGGGAGTGATTTTGAGAATTGATTTTTTGATCGTTAGAAGAAAAGTGGAGTCCACCTGTTAGAAAAGAAATCAAATATGACCACTAGAATAGTGAAATAATGGTAAGAAAAATCAAAATTTTGGGGAGAAAAATCACTCCCAAACAGGCTCTTAAGGGGCCAAACTAAGGCTAGCCAAATTTGTTGCATTCTCAATTAATATTATCCTTCTTGACTTTTGACTTGACTTTGTACAGCATTGATATCAAAAATTCAAGACCATTAAACCTCAATAATTCCTATCAAAAAGTCTGAAATTTAAGTTACACCAATATTTTTAATTGTTCAAATAAATATTTTCTGAGTAAATATTTATCTCAGTTATATAAGATTATTTGTTCATAATTTTTTAGTTGTCAATTTGATTTTATACTAGCTTTCCCCAAATATTTAACCAATCCTAAATTCGTCTATCACAAGTTGGCAAGGGATGGAAACACAGTACGAAAGTTTGCAGTGCAACATCGGTTACAATTACAAACATCTACTACATTGCTATATAATATGTATGCTACGTTCAAAAGGCACACTGCATATACACTACAAGATACAATATTCACGTTTTGTATGTCTCGTCAAGCACCACAGACCACGCAAACAATCAATCATCGATACCAAGTCAATAAAGGAACAAGATGAGCTTTAGCCAAATATTTAACAAATTAAGATTGGACATTAACTATCGAATTTTAATCAAATCACTTTGTTTAAAATCGAAACATCGTCAAGACCCAAATTCAACAGTTTCAACACTACAAATTTACCGTTTCACAAATTTTATCCAACCTAATTTTTCCTAAAATATTCTCCCAAAATCATCTCATTCTTAAATCTCTCACCTATCTTCTTTGTATATATTTTTCCTCCTCCTGTCTCCATAACTGTGAATGCTCGTTTTTGTTTTCTACACAGCAATCTATATTAAAATATTTCCTCGCCAATTAATTCTTCTCACAGTTTCTCACTCATCTGACTTTTCTTTTGTTCATCTCCTGTTTTTGAACTTTTTCTTCTTCAAAAGCATTAAAGTCTACATAAAGAAACAAATCTTTATCCTGATATCATTAGATTTATGAGGTTTTTCGTTCTGTTATTATTAGATTTTATGTGGGTTTTTTGGAAAAGGTAAAATCATGGAGTCTGCAGCAAGTTCTGATACCTCGAGTCCTGATTCATGGCCTCCTTCATCAAGCAATGGAAGAAATTCCAGAATCTCCTTTTCTCCCCTTCGATTCTTCAACTCCCCTGTTTTATCCCTACTCGAATACTCCGGGTTTCTTCGGGTCCGACCCGACTTCCACTCTGACGCTCAGCCCCCTGTATCCGAACCCACCAACAATTCTGTCTCAATCAATGATAATAGTACTAGTACTAGTAATAGTAATGATAACAATGGGGAGGTTTCTATTCGGATAATCGGGGCAGGGGAGCATGATAGAATTGGGGTTGTTGAAAATAGAGGAGAGGGCGATCAAACGGGCTCGGGTTTGGGTCCGGAGGAGTCTACTGGGGGTTTTGTTAATGATAATGGGAATGGTAGCAGCAGCAGCAGTAATGATACCAACAGGGAAACGTCATCATATCAAAGATATGACATACAGCAGGTGGCGAGGTGGATTGAGCAGATTCTTCCCTTCTCTTTGCTTTTATTGATGGTTTTCATCCACCAGCACTTGCAAGGTAATTTTCGGAGTAATTTGGTTTAACTTCGTGTTTATCATAGTAGAAGTTCTCATTATGCATCAAAAACTGATTCTGGCAAATTGTTTGTCATATTGCCTTTAAGGATGGCACTGATCATGTTTCAAACTTGATCACGAGTCGTATTGAACAACTGTATAGGATCGTACCCTAATGACTTATCATCGTTTTAGGCCAATCTGAGTTGGAAGTCTGGTTGCACTCAATCTAGACTGGACAAAATTTCACATTCGATTATGCTTATGCATCTATATTGGCATTTGTGCACGTAAATGTGTTTCATTGTATTAAGGAATATCTTATAGACCATCATGTTCAGATGCCAGATTTTCCTTTTCCTTTTTAAATTTTCAGGAGGCTGTATCCGTTTGCCTTCAATTTAAATTACTTTTAAACTTATGTTTATAATTAAACGAGTTAGAGGTAGTAAAGGTATTGATCCTCCATTATGTGAACTCAAAGTAATTTCAGTTCCACATGTATCATGCTCAAACAATATGAAATTTCAGAGTAGATTTGATGTGGTGCTGTTAGGTACTTTTTCCTGAAAGTGACAAAGGATAGATGATATGATAGTGCAGATATTGTAATTTGATAGTGACAATGGATATTGACCAATGAAAAGTAGCAACGTTTTCAGCCATAACTGGTTAATTATAAGAAGGATTTACCTTGTAACATTTTTCATGAGCAATGATTTTAACTAGTAAACTAAGTATGTACTTTAAGTCTTTAACATTACTGTTGGATAACAATTAGAAGAAAATTAATGTTTAAGATATTGCTATAATGTTATATGTTTAAATGCTAAGAGGTTATTAAGTACATGTTTGAATTATAATTTAAATTGGTCAAACCTGCTTCTTATCCACACATTTTCTAGGACCCAAGATGACTACCCACTTATTATTCATACTTTTTGTAGGATCTACATCTTGAAATCACTTAAAAGTACACCCAGGCATGCTCTAAAATGCATTGAACGCTTGCCTGGGATTTTAGGAGTTGGAAAATGTTCATTGCTTTTGTTGCGATGTTGCTGAGGACTCTGTTGAAATTTGTTGTTGGTAAAGCCACAATATTGTTGATGCAATATTAGAATAGATTTTATTTAATATTGTTTTCAATTTTAAGGCTTATGTTAGGAAACTTAATCATGTTTGATTTAATGGCTTTTATTAGATATTTGCTACTTAGAATAAGATACTTGAAACCCTATTTAAAGGGGGCTTTTGCATTGTAATAAAGGAACCTTTGATAATGAAATAATTAAATATTCTCCTCCGATTTCTTTATTCCATCTCTCTAGTTCTTGTCCCCTTTCTATCTCCCTCCTTCTACCATTCCCTCTTCTTCTATTTCTCCCTCCTTTTTTCTCTCATTTCCCCTTCTCCTAGACATCATGCATCAATTGTAGATATGGGTGTAAACTGATTTAGTCTCATTGCTTGTTAAGTTGTTATTCTCTTCTTTGAATTTGAATTTTATAGTGATTGAGTAAAATAATTCAATGTCTATTGATCTTCCCACAATAGGTCAGCTTTATAATCTCCTAGAAAGTTTCGTTTTGATGCAGTTGGTAAATCATGGTTGACTTCTCTTTTTTTGTCTTGCAACCTAAGATGAGCAATGCAATCCACTATTTTCTCGGTTTGCTTTGAAACTTTATTTTTCGAGGAAATTAAGGTAATCATAAAATCACAGTTTTCCCTTCTGTGACCGGTGGTACCCCTTAAAATATTATTGTTTTCCTGGATTAGTTATTGCATATAACTTTGTTTATCTTGGAATGAGTTGTTAAAATGGTTTGCATATTGTTAATGTTGTCTTTTTAGTTCCCACTGAACTCACACCTTATTTAGTGTTGTATTTTAACAGTACTTTTATAACTGATGAAACTTTTGGGTAAAATTACTTCAATAATGTGGAGACCATGTGAAACAAACAAGCCTTTACTTGTTTAGTATAAGTTGTGCAGCCTCATTGCTTTACCAGTCATGATCCAAATGTTGATGCTATAAATATTCTAGATAACATTAAACATCGTCAATTGATTCTTTTTGTATAGAAAATCATGAAGAGCTATGATGCACGGACGTGTGTCTGGCACGACACTCATTGGATACGTCATGCGATTTTTCAAAAAAGTAATGACACAAGTCACTAGGCACCTTGAATAAATTCTTTAAAAAATTTTATTTATCTGGTATAAGTTTTGTTTTATACTTGTTATCAAATTTTTTTTGTTGAAATCTTTAACGTTTAAGCACATATTTGTTGTTTATTTAATGACTTTGAGTTAAAAATATATAATATTTCTAAGAAAAATAGAAAAAAATGATTATGATAGAATGTTCGAGGATTGTCGGTATCCGACAAGTTCCGATACATGTCGGACACGAATACATTACCCTAGTTAAAGTGTCCATGCAACAGCGATGAAGAGATAAAGCATGTATGATCTTCCATGTCTATGAAATTAACTAGCCCCTTTTTTCTCTTATCGGTAATCTCATGTTTCGAACTGCCCTTCAAGACTTGATTTTGGTACTTAATTAATTAATTTTCTATTTTTGAAAATTTAGGAGATGTAATAATATGTATCATATAACTTTGCTTTCTAATTTCACATTTCTTTTCTTTATGTTTTCAACCCTTGACTTTTCTAAATATGGATCTTCAGGATTCTTTATTACAATTTGGATCACTGCTGGCTTGGTCAAGTCTAATGACATTCTTCGGAAGCAGACAGCTCTAAAGGTGTGGTGTGTATTCCATATGCTAAGTAGTTTGTAGCATATTCACGATAATTGTTTAAAGTTTAAGCCATACCCATTTCTATACCAGGAATAAAGATGAATATGGGAATTCTTCAGATCAACTAAACAGTGACTTTTGCAGGGAGAGAGAAAGATTTTGGTCCTTGTTGGTTATTCATTTGCCTTTATACTTCATGTATCTGGAATCTACTGGTGGTGTCGGGATGATGATATTTTCTATCCTCTATTTATGGTTCCTCCAAAGGTTATTCCACCGTTCTGGCATGCAATTTTTATCATCTTGCTAAATGGTATGGATTCTTTGAGCTCTTTATTGTTTTGGCAATAACTTCATCTCTTTGTGATATACACATAGGGAATAAATATCAAATCATTTGAAACCTGCTTGTGTAGATGCTGAATATGCATTGGTTGTTAAATGTGAGATGGAAATCAAATGCCTTACTGAACATTATATATTGAACTTTGATTAGTTTTTACTTGAGAGGTCCAATTACAATGAATCTGATCATTGCATGGTTTTAATTTTCCCCTCATACTAAATTGCTTGTCGCATATTTTCTTTCCATCTCTCTTTTTTGTATTGCAAAATTTCCTTATTCAGATTCTGTTCTGAAATTTGAAAATCCATGTAATATATTTTCTAATATTTAATGTAATTTATATTTTGACTTTTGAGCATATGCAATTTTATTATATTTATCATAGGGTTTCCCGGAAGGGAAGGGTAACTGAAGTTGGGAATCCTGTTACACTTAGTTGTGTCCTTCAACCTCATTTTTTTTTTTCCTCCCCCTCTCTGAAATTGTTTGTTTCAGATACAATGGTGCGACAGGCTGCAATGGTCTTGAAGTTGGTTCTGCTGATGTATTTTAGGAATAGCAGGGCCCATAATTTTCGCAGACAGGTGATATGGTTTATAGAGTATATAATAAATTTGCTGGTAATTCAGGGGGGTAACATGTGATTCCATAGAATTCTGACATATGATTTGCATTCAGGGTCAAATGTTGACTCTAGTTGAATACACGTTGCTTCTATACCGGGCATTGTTACCAACACCTGTATGGTATAAATTCTTCTTGAACAAAGAAAATGGAAGTCTCTTCTCGTCATTGATAACAGGGTTGTATTTAACTTTCAAGCTTACATCAATTGTTGAAAAGGTATTTCTTATGATATCTTGCTTGTTTATGACCTAGAATCTGGAACACCATGATTAAAGAAACTTGTTTCTCTCCTTCCGCCCTGCTGTCAGGTCCAATCATTTGTTGCTGCCTTGATGGCATTATCGAGAAAGGTCCACTACGGGTCTTATGCAACATCAGAACAGGTATAATGTTTCGTTTGCTTTTAAATTTTGTGGAATTAGTTTTGGACAATATGGAACATACTGGTGTGAAAGCAGAGCAAAAATATGCCTCAATTAGCCTCTGTTTGCAAATTTAAAGTAATAGTTATGAATGTGTGGTTGAAATTAATGGTTGAAATTTGTGTCCTAATGGATAATTAGTGATGTCTTGGGCTTTGAAATAATTTTGATCTGAATGTAGTCTGCTGGAGTCAAAGTGGACAGAAGTAAGCTGTAAAATTCCTACTGTATCTAACAATCAGGAAGATATTTAGCAAATCGTACTTTTTCTTTATGCTAACCTTTTGAGATCACCTTGTTTGCTTCATTTTCTACTCAGTTAGTTATTCTCTAATGAACGAGGATTACATGGTTATTCAAGGCAACAATGTCGACTTATAATTTAGACCTGATAGTCCATATTCTATTGTCATTTTCTATGCCAAGTTTCCAACTAATTTTTTTAGAATTTCTGCATAAGACTTCATAATGACTTCCTTGAATAAGAATGTTTTTTTGTTCACGAATTATTTATCTTGTTAGCATTTTCAATGTTAATGCCTTCTTTACAATGTAAATGGTCATTCACCTTGCACATGCTAAGGCACACAGCTACATCCCATGCCACCTAAGTTTTCTGGTGACTGGAATACTTGCCTATGTTAGATCCCGAATGTAGCAGAATATTTAAGTTTTAGCATTATAAGTCTGCTGATTCTAAACTAGAAATAAACTGAATGTCCCTATTCATATGCTATGTTCTTGAGTGCTTGATTTTTCTCTCGACAGCTATATCTCAGCAAGCTTGGCCACATTTTATTGCTCTCTTTAGCTACCTGTTGATGTCCCTGCTGTTAAAGTTTATGGTCGAATCCATAATTTTTCTTGTTTTTTGTTTTGTGTTGGCTGAGCATGAAGAAGCAAGAGCACATGTCCTTAACAAGTGACATGCACCTTTTTGCTCGTAGTCTTCATATCCGGGAAAAAGGAAAAGCATTTGGTAAACTAAGCTGTAAATTACTGAACATAGGTGAATGCGGCAGGAGATCTATGTGCTATATGCCAGGAGAAAATGCATGCCCCAATCTTATTGCGCTGTAAACATATCTTCTGTGAAGACTGTGTTTCAGAATGGTTAGTTTATTGCACTTTGTGATTACATGTAAATATCTTGGAAAAATTATTATTGACCAAGTATGTTTTTGGTTGTACTTCTGTTATTTTTGTCCTCATTTATAATGCCTATTTGATTTTCATTCAATTATGGAGTCTAGGGAGACGTGAATCACTGAGTCATTGTTATCTATTGGCTGTCACTAGGCATGTTAGCAACCCCACATCCCCACCCTAAATCCAACTTCCAAGCACTCCCACCCATCTTATCTTTATCATCAGCTGTCTTTACCTCCAACTGGTGGAGGCTGATCTCTCCCTCTAATTGATGAAGTTTGATGGTAAGATGCTCTTAAAATCTCGTTTGTGCTTGTTGCCATTGAGTGTATCCCCAAGACTGCAGTCATTTTGTAACTCATGCAGTAGAGTTGCAATATTTATAGAAATTGATAATGAAAAAAAGGGATTTCTATGTGTGTCTACGGTGTAGAGTAGCTGGAGTTGGGAGCATAGTTTGCTTAGCTTGAGCTTACTGAAATTATGATTAAGGATTTTGAAAATAGTTGAATAAGTTTCAGATAACTGTCATAGTTGTCATAATGAATGCCAACATTTTGGGACTAGATGATAGCAATCTGTTTAATTGTTTGAACATACTTCAAATTCAGATAAAATTGTGGTTTTTTAGAAACATAAAATTCTTTCCAGTGGTTGGGAGTGTTATTCTGCGTGTAGAGTCAAATATTTTAGCATTATAATTTTTGCGTAGCAGAGAATTCATGGTGTAGTTCGCAAATAAATTTGGCTGCTTTCATAATTCACAAACGAGCACTTTTATATAGTTGCAGCAATTTTACAGTGCGATTACACATTTGGGGCAAGTAAAATTCCCTGAAACTCAAAGAATTGGTATGATCTTGAACTGGAAAGGCCATCTCAGTTTGCTTCTCATGGTATTACTACATCAAAGAAGCAATTGGTTTGCTCTCCCTCTGAGAGAACCGGTTTGGTTACCATTTTTCCTTTCTCAACGTTTTTATCATTTTAAAAACAGTGTAAAATTTTGATTGGTAGTTGCATCTAATTAAATGCAATTAACTGCAAGTCTCTGTTTAAGGAAGTCCTTGATACATCAGCTTACCTCTTTTGATCAGTTGGCATCAAAATTTCCTTTTTCAGGTTTGAAATGGAAAGAACTTGCCCTTTGTGCAGGGCCCTTGTTAAACCTGCTGATCTTCGATCATATGGGGACGGGTCGACCGGTCTTCTCTTCCAGTTATTCTAATAGTCTCATCTCGTCGGAGAGTGGTTTTTTTTTCTTGACCTGCTTTGCAAGCATCAAAGCATTTTTCTGCAGGAGTTGCTTTTAAGATTGCTTCATAACTGGATCACCCTTGGGAAGATTTCTATAATGGAGTTATAAAAATTGGACATGGATTTGCATTAGATTTATGTTATGTATCAGCAAATTGGTTCGATGTAACCAAGGTGCTGTGGCTTGAGAAATCTTGATACATGAAGGAATCTCTTGATTCCATCTCAGTACATATGTTGGTTTTGGTTTTCAAAATAAGGAACCTTGGGTTGTATTTTCCATGTCTTGACACGAACCACTATTTTCTACTATTTCGTTCTCGAAGAGAGAGTATTTGCGATCTTCATGGTGGTAGGGGATGGCAAAATGTTGTGCTTTATCCAGCTGCATATTGCTCCTAGCTCCGTTTGGGACGGGGGTTCTCCGATTTGCCATGGATTTAAGGCATTAAAGGAAACATGGTTTTGTCCTTATTCTTATTTTAATTTTAATTTTAATTTTAGATTTAGAATCGTATTTAAAAACAAATAAAATTAATACTAGGAATAGGTAAATATATAAACGAGACAACCGAGAATACTTTTATTTTGATTATGTACTGCTTCCCAAGGGAATGAGGAAGGCTGCTTTGGGCTTGCAACTTCCAATTGCCATCCCCACATGCCATCTTGTTTATGAGGTATATATATATGAGGATTTCAATAGAGACATTGGGTGAGAATGTCGATGCGTCGTGTTATCTTTCAAATGAGAAAACCACTTCTTTATCATTTCGTGTCAATTGTCTATGTGGTCATAGTCAAAGATCATGTTCGCTATTTAGGTGATGTATTCTTAAAAAATCGGTATCTAAATAATGCTTTGGTGCTCATTCAGCTTGAAGTATTAAAATAATATTTTGATTTATATTATTGTTAAAGAAGCCACGAGAAGAAAGAACGTTTGTAAGAGTACTTTAGCATTACTATTTACCACTAATAAGTATTATTTATGCTAAAATATGAAAGAAAATGGTCGATGAAGGTTTACCTTACTCAAAACTTGAAATAAGGGTGGTTTGTGTAGTTTTTGAAAATGGAGAGGATGCCTACGAAATTATCATAAATGTCATGTGAGGTATGAGTTATTTAAAACCTTGAAATGAGAAAGGTTTGTGTAATTTTAAAAAAGGGAAGGAATGTATTAGAAATAGATATAAACCTCTATAAAAGTTTCTTTAATTGTCATCCAAAGTTTTGGGTTCCTTTGTCAAAGTCATGGTGTACATACCGTTAAAAAATTTAATTGAAATTTAAGTCAAAGTTAACAATTAATCTCCACTACACATTTCATAGGATTCATAATTTTTTAACCACACATTCTATCACTTCTATCAAACTTTGATGTAATCTCTACCAAATAAGGATCGTAGTCGAGTAATGACATATATTCAGAACAAGTAACTTGAAGACGACAAAATTCGATAAAGAGGACGATTTCACTGATAAAGTAAAGAATAGCAACAATATTTCCGGTGCAAATTATAGGAACCTCTCCTCTCATGTAATTTTAACTCATTACTCATTAGGAAATAATTAACATAGAATAATAGAGATACTCCCACCTTTTAAAATATTTCAGTAGTATTGCTTCTGATCATAAGAAATTATCATTATAAAAATATGTAACAAGTTTGAATATAAAGTTATTTTATTTTAGATAATTTACAAATACGATCGATAACTACTTGTTAGTTTATAATTAATTAAATAATTTGACTTTGACAAACAGTTTTTAGATTTCTCTCTTACTCCCTTTTCCAGTCAAAATTTGGGATTACATTTCTAATTTTTTTTTTTAAATCGTTGTCATTTTTACCAAAAATATCGTTGCATTAAAAAATCACTTTGCAAAAGAGAGAACTAATATTTCTTTAAAATAAATAAATTAAAAAATAGTTTCAAATTTCATAAAGGACAAAAAGTAGAATTGAAAACATATATTGATTTTTGTGTACAATAATTTCATAGGATATCTATTCAATTTGCTTTGCTCAGGTTTTTCAACTCGTAAAATGTTTTTCTTCCGTTTTTGTTCCAAATTAGTTAAATGTCGCTGTCGTTTTTCAGCTATTTTTAAATTTAAACTTACCAAGATCAGCTTGCAAATTTGTGGCACCGTAGTAGAATCATTACCAATGGCACGTTTGTGCGCCTAAGTGCGAAAATTTGGGAAGCGGCATCCGTTGATGAATGTTTATACAACGGGGGTCCTTATGAACTGAACATTCGAATTTCTATTTATATAATTAACACTATTTATTCAACAAATTGGATCGATCCTTATTTACCAACCAAACATTGTCCAATCATATAGCCTATCGTGCTAGCCTCCCACTGGGGGCTTGCTATGCCAAAGCGAGAGAAACCCATCCCTCTCTTTATATGAGTGAAATAAAACGACTTTTGAATTTGCAGTTAAAGGGATTGAATCCCAATACCTCCCAAGGAAATTATCGAATGGATCCCAAATTGACAAGTTAGTGTGAGCTTATCCATGTGGTTATGCACTCTTCGAATTAGAACAAGTCCGAGTCAAACAGCAATCATTCGAAACACTTCTTTTTACACTATTTCGAAAACCTAAGGACTTTGTTAGGAGAGGTTGGAGAGTCTTAGAAGCGCACTACACGTGTAGGCTGGGAGTTTACAAGTTCTCTACAGACACTCACGTGCGGTTAGTGTTGTTGGGGTAATTTTTTAATAATTCATCTCATATAAGTAATCTATGAACTCTCTGTGAAATTCCATCCTGTGCGTATAGCTTTCATCTTACTCTTATTGATGGTCACTTCAATAAGGTTAAATTTATTTTTTAATCTAAAAGGACAGCATTTTTAAAATTCAAAAGGTGTTATTTTTCTCTTGGACTATGATGTGATGGCCGTTTAAAAAATTTCCCTAATAGAATTACTTCACCTGCCGTACTTGTATACAAGGGAAATTTCTTAATCATGATCAAATTGGAAGAAGAAAATGGTAATAACATATACTTACCAGTTTATGTCGTGATTTATCAAGAATAAAATATTTTCTTCACAACCACGATCATGAAATCTTGCTCCCACCTCTTCCTGCTGCGGGGCGCTGCACGAAACCAAATTGCCGCTTGCTCGATCAAGTACCCCGTTGCTTTGTTGGTGGACCCAATTAGGTAAGGGGCCATTGTCCCTCAACTCTTAGTTCTTACCAACCTTCGATGAAAACAAGAATGAATTTGATTTCAATAGCAAAATTAAGATCTTTTTCATTGAGTTAAGACGGTAATAAGGGGCTTAATTGTGAAAGAAAGACCCCGTATCACATGAAATATCATACCTTCAACTCTCTCCTCTCTTAATTTCCTTAGTTTATTGTAAAATCCTCCTTTGATAATGGACTAGAGAATCTAGAACCGTAGCCTTCGATGAAAACAAGAATGAATTTGATTTCAATAGCAAAATTAAGATCTTTTTCATTGAGTTAAGATGGTAATAAGGGGCATAATTGTGAAAAAAAGACCCCTTACCACAAGAAATATCATAAATTCAACTCTCTCCCTTCTTCACTCTCTCCTCTCCTAATTTCCTTAGTTTATTGTAAAATCCTTCTTTGATAAAGGACTAGAGAATCTAGAACCGTAGCATCCAAATTAAAAATTAGGTATTTTCTTTTTTTTTTGTACCGCAACATATGAGAGAATTTTTAAAAACCCTAAGAAAGAATAGCTGAATTGTTGTACATCCATAATGAATATCATCAAGTTCAATATTGCTTGTATTTGATACTCGATTGAATGAGTAGAGGAAAGAATAAATGAGAAACTTTATATAAAATCGAATAATACAATACACAAGAGCAACGTGTGAAATAAAAGCAACACTTAAAAAAATTGTTCGAGCTGTGCGACTACTCGAGAGCCTCTTAAGCTTTTTATCATAGTTGCTCAAACTTTATATAAAATCGAATAATACAATACACAAGAACAACATGAGAAATAAAAGCAACACTTAGATTTTTTTTCAAACTGCGGGACTACTCGAGAATCTCTTGAGCTTCTTATCATAGCTGGAGAGAATGGAAGGCGTGACAAGGAAACATGAGCTGCAATGAAAGGGAAGAAAGTGATTAAGGAATTGAAAATTGAATTACGTTAAGAAATTGTTTATGATTATTTTAAAATATAAATAAGTAGAAATGAGTAGATACTTGTTTTCTCACAAAATATGTTAATAAAACATAATTTAATTCTTTATAAACAAATTATAAACCCGTCCAAACATGGAAGTAAGGAGAGTTCTGCTTTCAACAAGAATTTTAAACAAAATAAGAAAATTATCAGTGAATTATGCTGTACTTTAACTATTGAAACATGGGTATTTCAAAAAATTCGCCACTAATGCACGTGTTTGATTTAAATAGTTGTCTGAATATGAGAAAGCTTTATCGTGTGAGATTCCGACAACTGCTACAGCGCACCACTGTTCCTCCAACAAAAAAGTGCAGCTTTAGTGGGGTACCCCTCCGGACAAAAATAGTTGAGAGGTGGTCAAAGTTTAACCTCCCACGCCACCCCACCCTACCCTAGCCTGCCCTACCCTACCCTACGCTCTCGTAATCTCCGGCCGGTGTATACTGTTCACGGTCTCCCACTCTCTCTTTCTCACAGAAAGTTGCAGAAGAATTATATTTTCTTGTTTTTGCCATTTTCAGATCATTTAGCTGCAGAATATGTAAACAGAACAACTCTCTTTTTTGTATACGTATATGTGTATTTATCTTCTCTTCTTGTGTATTTATATACAAGATTTTTGAAGAGATCTTGAAGTCGCTTTCCCATCTCTGACTCTCATGAAGAAAGCGACTTATCATCTTCCCCTTGTAATTTATATTTCTTGGTTTTCCTGACCCTACAATTATATTATTAAATCAATCAATTTAATTTTTTTTTAGCCACCTGCTATCTTATCCGTGTTTTCTTTATCATTTTCTGTTCAAAGAACTTCAATGAAACCATTTTTAATTAACATCATTGGTGATCTAGGGTTTCAACTGATCTGAGCTCCTCCATCACAAATGCAAGCAGTTAAGTAATTTCTGAAAGATTAGATAGTTTAATTTTTGACATGGATGATTGTGATTGTGAAACCTGGAATATGGGTTTTGATTTTCCGAGTAACATTAGGGTTTGTGGAAAAGTGATAGGTAATTGCAGTTGAATTCATGTTTTCATCTCTCTTGGACAAAGGTTTAGAGGAATTATTAATTGCTAATGGATTTTTATTGTATCTGTTCAATATTTCTTTCGTTTTAAACTTTAAGAAGCTTATGATTTATTATAGCATTTTTTTCAATCAAGAATAGAAATTTGATTTCAATTTCTTCATTTTGTGCTACAGAATACGTTCTACCTCACTCTTATTTTATTTTTCTATCTGGTAATGGAGACAGAAAAAAGAATAGTTTTTCAGTGTCCATCTGCAAATAGTGTTGCTCCATTTCAGGTTTCACTGGGAAAGAAAAATGAGGTAATGCTTTGATGTTTTCCAGTGTTGAGCTAGGAAAACAAATCTTAATTGAATATTAGCTACTAAATTGAATGTGTTATCATTAGGATTTTGGATTTGTCGCATAATTAGCATAAAATCTGCCTTGATTTAAGGTTCAGAAGCATTTGATAGACTTTTAAGCATTGGAAGCTTGAAATTTCACTGAAATACTTGCATGTTAATCATTTTTTCCCCTCCCTCTCTCTCCTTCACACTCTTTTACATCTTCTTGGTCCTTTGGAAAATGTGATCATTATTTTGAAATGGTGGTTCTCGAGGTATTGACCGCATCATTTGGTGTAACTGGTTATTCCTTAGCTCGGGAACAAATTGGTTATTGGGCGGGGAAAATTGTAACAGGTGTACTTGAAGCTATTCTTGTATTGATATTCCAATTCGATCCGAGCTCTCTTATTGAATTGCTCATTCAATGAGCATTCTCAATATTATACCTTGAAGAGAACTTGAAACTCCGTGCCAACAGTCATGGAAAGATAGAGGATGCAAGCATTATCTAGAATGATTGGGCATAAAGCGCCTATAAGTGGCTTTTTAAGTGGAGCTAAGGTCCAAAATATGGAAGAAAGAAGCGTTTTCACGACTCTACCACCCCAGTCAATCCGTTCTACTTAATCTCTCTTTCTCTTTCATGGCCACATATCTTTCTGGCCACAATGAGAAATGGTCTAAAAGAGCTTCCTTTAGCCCATTCATGGACGATATTGGGGGTTGAATTAGCTGCCGACTCATTCATTTAACCACAAGTAGCGACTCATTCATTTAACCACAAGTAGAATACAAGAAGTCTAATGCTACTGTGATTGAAGGAATGATGCGGGAGATAGTTTCATGTCCTTCTTCCTCTGTGCTTGGACTGAAGGGAGCTCCTCTTGCTGTTGCCTTCATTTTGTTATCTTTTTGGGCTCGGTCTTGTTTCCAAAAGATGATTCCCTTCTGGCTAAGATGCCTTTATTATTCACTTATGGCTTGTTTGGTAATGTTGACTCTACAACAATGAACAAATATATAAAAAAAGGAAAAGAAAATGAAACTAAAATCTTGTTCATTTTAATGTTTATTCTTGTATAACATACATGCCATTAATGAATGTTGAACAGTGAATTTTGACGATTCACAGTTGGTCGTTTTCTTCTATGTTTGTGCTAATATTCTTAACCAAATGTTGCTAAATCTCGTTGAATAACCTAAGATCTCATATATGGTATCTCTTCGTCACCTTCTTGTTCGAATAGTTTTTAATTTCCTATTGATAAGCGTGACTTTAGTTTTATGTTGATTAGAGAAAAGTGGCTAAATGTTTCCGTTTCTGTAAAAAGCATATCTCTGTCTATTTATCAGACGTGCTTGAATATATTTGTGTTACATTGACCATAGAAAAGTCCTATGGTATGGTCATACTGAAAGAGTTGAACTCCGAGGGTGTGGGATGAACTTTTGATTATGAAGTAATAGCTTAAAACTTTGTTTCAGTTTTCACTCTCCCTAACAAAATCAGTTGAGAGCTCCTCATTTGAGTTTGTACTAGACGATTTACATTTTGTGAGTTGCTTCTTGGATTCTTTTATAAACTATATAGTTTTGCCACCTTTCCTTATCACTTAGGCCACTGCCATTTACTGCAGTTATGTATTGATTTTACTTCAGAACTTTAACTTATTTGAGTCTTTAAACCTTTCATTTCTGCTCGAGCTAACTGTCTCAAAGAATCCATTATAAAATTTTCCAACCAGTTCCAACTATAGTTTTGGTAATAAACTGATGATTATCGTAGTTTAATGACTTATTATTGTACTTTATTCTGCACTTCTTTCACTTTTTGTCTATTTAGAATCGTAAAACCTCATCTATTTCCTGCTATCCCTCTCTCCTTTATTTTATTTTATTTTATCTCAATTGAATATGCTAGATTGCCATTTGAATTCAGAAATTGCGTACTTTCAAGTGACAAATTATATGTGGAAAGTACAGGTATGAATTTTATATACATCACAATTTGAGAATTGTTTCCAGTTTTCTCATTTCTTTATGCGTGAAGTAAGTGTGCACAAACATCTTTTTTTATTTGTATATGCAACTTTAACTTATAATTTAGGTTTTTCAGTACAAAAGTTCTTTTTAAGTGGATGCTTTCTAATTAATTTATCCATAATCAGTTCATGCAACTCTTGGTTTATGGGACAATGTGATAAATATTTCCAAGTATAGCTGAAGAGCCTCTTCTACTTTAAACCCTATTCAGGAAATTATTTAGCTTATTTTTCAAATAGTTAGCTTCTGCAGATTGGGTTTGTAGGGTGGTCCTAATTTCTGCAGTGTGTTTCTGAAATGCATACTGATTTTCATTGTTTATTTTATAAGTGAACTGTGGTCCAAAATATCAGTTTCCCTCCTATTTTTCTTGTATAAAAGAATTGTCATAGAAAGTGACATTTAAAGTTTGTGTGTGAAAATTAAGCAAGCTAATCTTTACGTTGCGTAGGGCTGCAGACGAGCGAAGATAATGCATGCTTGGCTTGTACAGAATTCTTTCAAGATCAGCTTGAGAAATGTATCGAGAAAGTTAATGATTATAAATCCCAATGGTTTGAGTTTGATCTTGAATTGATGAGTTTCAGTTCGAATGATAAGTTATCGCCGCAAGGGATACTGGCTATAGCATTATGAAATGTTTGGTATGTGATCTCTCTTCTACCTTTCATCGCTCCCATATCGTCATATGGAAACACGGGGCGTAAAAAAGTGAATTCTATCACCGCGTTACGTCCTCTTATTTCCTATCTAACTTAATGTTTTATTGAATTAGAATTTGGTGGTCCCATTACCATAGTTTGATAAGTAGAGGAATGGTAAGTGTTGTGGAAACTCAAGTTTAACTCAGTATTTGTCGGTTTCAGGTATTGCTACTCAATAAAATTGACTGCAAACCAACATAAATTGATGTCTACAGCTATAGATTGTGAAATTGCTTAGCAGGGTTTCAGGGAAGGGAAGTTTTCATTATAAAAATTCTATGGACCATTTTCTTTTCAATAAAAAATAAATTATTGTGTTTAATATCACGGGCACGAGGTGGAAGGCTCGGAGTGCCAACATTGAACTGGGCCGTCAAATAAGCCCATTCAATTTGCTGTATCTCCTTTGTGCGGCCAGAGTTTATGGACTAACAAATTGTGGGAGAATAGAATGCAAGAATTATAAAGGTTGAATCTCAACCTTGAAGGCTCCCATCGTCCCGTCCTTAGAGTTTTGTGAGAGAGGTAAATAGCGGGATGTGCCCCAACAGACCAGGGAACAAGAGTTGCGTGTACACTGCGTCTACAAAAAGTCAAATTTCATGTCTCAGGAATCGAATCCTCACACTGCAGCTGTCAGCAAGACGTGAGATAACATCACTCCCATCCTTTGTACCACTAGGCCATGCCTCGAGGGGCGAATGCAATAATTATAGATTGAATTAATTATGGAGTTACAATTACATTTTTTTTTATTTTTTAACCTTTACATTGTTATTCTTAACATTATATTAATTTGTACATCCTTTCTTTGATAATAGTTTTCATACAAATAATTTGTTTAAGATAGCATTAAATAATTTGCATCTTATATTTTTAACTAAGCAAATAAAATAAATACAAAAGCTTGACAAAGTATTTGCGTCTCATGCATGTTAGAAGAATACTTGGATAAAAATCATTGTAAGACACGAGACGTGTTGATATAATTGAAGGTTAATGATTTGCGATGAAAAAAAGTTGAAAATGTAAGTGTCAAAATGAGTCAACATAGAGACTTTCATTGTAATTAAAACGTGGTACAGAAGATAAAACCTTTATAGATATAGATAAGGCAATGTTTGGTATATATTATTTGAAACTCGTTTTATTTTAATTATACATTCTGTCAATAAAATAATTTTACACGTGTATTCATAAGTGTATTTTTTCTTTTTTTTTCTTTTTTAGACTATACACTCTCTAAAAATCATTTTTCACAAAATCTATATTAAATGTGGGCTAGATACGTTTTAAATACAAAAGTTAACGTACGAGATTTGTGTACAATGACATTTTCATTTTTCCATTCGAAGAATGTTATTTTGTAGGGATAATTGCAGTCTTGGTCCCGAACGTTTTAAATTGTTGCAAATTTTATCCAAACTATCCACCGCACAGAACAAAAGGGTCTGGGATTAGTGTTGTTATAAATGAAAAGTTAAGATAAAAGTTGCGATAATTGAAAAAGTTTGAGATTGCAATTGTAATAATTTTTATTTTATATCAAAGAAAATCTTTTAAAGAATACAATTTACAAGTTAAAGAGTATCTATAAATTTAGGGCTGAATTTTTTTAATAAAATATTTCAATAAAATTTTTTATATTTAACACTTTATTACTTCTGAAAAAATATTTATTTTTTTTCATATATTCAAACTATTATATCATTTTTCTTCATTCAAAATTGAAATACTTTGTATGTAATAAAATATTAATTTAAAGCGTAGGGCATAATTTTAAGGATTGGAAATCTATTTAATAATAAAAATTCAATTATTTATTTTAAACAAAATGTGTTCGCTAGTGGAGACCCATTAGAGACGAGAGTGAGAGCTCCAGTGGATGAACCAAAATCACAGTTTTACGTAGAATCTCCGAAAGTTTGAAGGTAATCCACATCCGCTCTGCATTCTATGATTAATTAAGCTAAGATACTTTTGTACTAATTTATCAAAATTGAGCTTAAATATGTAGCTCCATATTTTCCCGACCAATTTATTTTTAAATCCGGTGATGTTATGCATTGAAGAACGTCTGATATAGTTTAAACAAATCTCGTATTGAACTTGTTTGGGCGCTGGATTTGATTTGGTTGTGATGCTTCTCTATGATGAAGATTCTTCTGGTATGTACGCTATCGCCTATCAATACGAGGGTTCGATTATATAAAAGTTGAAGGTAGTTTAAATTAAGCTTCAAAATTGAGAATTTTTAACTTTCATGTGCCCGAAAACCATAACCTGGCTATGTTTTTAGGGTCAGAAATCCTAGATAGCAATGAGTACATTCTAGCAATACTAGTATTCTTGATTTAAACTTCTAGATTTGAGGGTTTAAAATCTCAAGGTCCTAATTCTAATGTTTAAGTTCCATTTACAGTCAGACGGGGAATTTTAAGCCTGGGTTGGATAGATTAGTTATGGTTTGATGAGTGAGAAGTGGCTGCAGGTGTGAAGAGCAAGATCTTTTTTGATCGGAAAAGAGTAACAATTCCTTGGGGATTAAAAAATTGTAATGTGATTTAAGCAGTTATTTTGTTGCCCAACTGGTGGTTGTTGCAGATGTAATTTTTTTTATGTCCAGTGGGGGATAAAGTCATTAACATGATTGTCAAGTTACTTACAGGTTTTTAACATGACATGTTTCCATGTTCATATTTTGGTTAATGGTCTGCTGACTGCTATGTAATTATATACCGAATCATATTACTGTAATTGAGATTCCTTCTAAGTCTTGCTTGCTATTTATTTTCTTTGATAATAGTTTTCATACAAATAATTTGTTTAAGATAGCATTAAATAATTTGCATCTTATATTTTTAACTAAGCAAATAATAAATAAAAAAGCTTGATAAAATATTTGCATCTCATGCATGTTAGGAGAATACTTGGATAAAAATCATTGTAAGACACGAGACGTGTTGATATAATTGAAGGTTAATAATTTGCGATGAAAAAAAGTTGAAAATGTAAGTGTCAAAATGAGTAAACATAGAGACTTTCATTGTAATTATAACGTGGTGCAAAAAATAAAATCTTTATAGATATAGATAAGGCAATGTTTGGTATATATTATTTGAAACTCATTTTATTTTAATTATACATTCTGTCAATAAAATAATTTTACATGTGTATTCATAAGTGATTATTTTTTTTTCTTTTTTAGACTATACACTCTCTAAAAATCATTTTTCACAAAATCTATATTAAATGTGGTCTAGATACGTTTTAAATACAAAAATTAACGTACGAGATTTGTGTACAATGACATTTTCATTTTTCCATTCGAAGAATGTTATTTTGTAGGGATAATTGCAGTCTTGGTCCCGAACCTTTTAAATTGTTGCAAATCTATTTAAAAATAAAAATTCAATTATTTATTTTAAACAAAATGTGTCCGCGAGTGGAGACCCATTAGAGACGAGAGTGAGAGCTCCAGTGGATGAACCCAAATCACAGTTTTACGTAGAATCTCCGAAAGTTTGACGGTAATCCACATACGCTCTGCATTCTATGATTAATTAAGCTAAGATACTTTTGTACTAATTTATCAAAATTGAGGTTAAATATGTAGCTCCATATTTTCCCGACCAATTTGTTTTTAAATCCGGTGATGTTATGCATTGAAGAACGTCTGATATAGTTTAAACAAATCTCGTATTGAAATTGTTTGGGCGCTGGATTTGTTTGGTTGTGATGCTTCTCTATGATGAAGGTTCTTCTGATATGTACGCTATCAATACGAGGGTTCGATTATATAAAAGTTGAAGGTAGTTCAAATTAAGCTTCAAAATTGGGAATTTTTAACTTTCATGTGCCCGAAAGCCAAAACCTGGCTATGTTTTTAGGGTCAGAAATCCTAGATAGCAATGAGTACATTCTAGCAATACTAGTATTCTTGATTTAGACTTCTAGATTTGAGGGTTTAAAATCTCAAGGTCCTAATTCTAATGTTTAAGTTCCATTTACAGTCAGAAGGGGAATTTTAAGCCTGGGTTGGATAGATTAGTTATGGTTTGATAAGTGAGAAGTGGCTGCAGGTGTGAAGAGCAAGATCTTTTTTGATCGGAAAAGAGTAACTATTCCTTGGGGATTAAAAAATTGTAATGTCATTTAAGCAGTTATTTTGTTGCCCAACTGGTGGTTGTTGCAGATGTAATTTTTTTTTATATCCCGTGGGGGATAAAGTCATTAACATGATTGTCAAGTTACTTACAGGTTTTTAACATGACATGTTTCCATGTTCATATTTTGGTTAATGGTCTGCTGACTGCTATGTAATTATGTACTGAATCATATTACTGTAATTGAGATTCCTTCTAAGTCTTGCTTGCTATTTATTGCATTTGCAGGCACTGCAGAAATAACAAATCGATAGTTCTCAATTATTTTTTCAAAGTGCCATTTATTATCAGATTTTTACTGTGCTTTTGATTATTAATTGATTATAAAAAATCATGGGTTGCACTTTCTCCTGAATTGAGCTCATTCTTTCCTTTCTATCTCAGGTTCTCATTATTGAATCAGTTTTTGGTTTCAGGCAGGGATTGGAATAGGTTGATTACTAGGTGGGTGAAGTTTTGTCATGGTTGGTTGGTTTTACGTATTTTAGTACACCTCCCTTGTTAAATTCTGTTTAGCATGTGCTACATAAAAATTGTAAGTTCATTTAAAGGATGATGGTATCAGAAAATCACTATTGTATTTGGATATTCCATTACTTTGCCTTATCGCACAACTCTGCCAGATGTAATGTGAGAATCTTCTTGTGGTTGAGCTTCAGTTTCTGAAAACTTGGACATTATATAGCTGTTTTATTATCATGATAAGGAATTGTTCAATATACAATCTTTGCAGAGATGTTCGATTGATGCAACTGGTATCTGAGCAATTCTTAGGGTAGTATTCGGTGTTAATAGACAAATGTATGTGTAATGCGGGTAGTCCTGGACTCTGTGCTGGTGTCTGACAAGATTTTCATGGCATTAAGTGGGGGTAATTGTCATACCCCATATGTCATAGTTATAACATAGAGTTGGTAGTGAACGACCCATAATAAAGGAAAGTGAGCTGCATTCCATTTGCTATGCTTTGAGCCTCCCAAATGATGCCTTCGCTACCTAATTTCCATGATATAAACACAAATTTCTGACATCTAAGTGGGGGTAATTGTGATACCCCATTGTCATAGTTATAACATAGAGTTGGTAGTGAACGACCCATAATAAAGGAAAGTGAGCTGCATCCCATTTGCTATGCTTTGAGCCTCCCAAATGATGCCTTCTCTACCTAATTTCCATGATATAAACACAAATTTCTGACATCTATTTGAAACAGTTTTTTAAATATTATTTTTTAAAAATATTTTTAGTCTATCGTAGCTCTTGATTATTTATTGTTTTGTTCTTATTTGTTAGAATCCGTATATATTGGGAAGAAAATGGTTTTCTTGTGTTGGGCTCGTCCATCTCCTCATGAACAAAGGACATGCATTGACAAGTAAATGTCATGTTTCTTGAACTATGATGTTTATTATTATTTTTTCTCCCCCAAGTATATTTATTTCTACGTTACACTTCTCTTGGCAGATCTGGTGACTTCAACTATGACAGCAAATACAGAGGGTCTACTGTGAAGCCTGCAGATAGCGTTCAGCAAGATAGAGAGCTATCAGACAGTGGCTTTTCAGTCAACCACACCCGAGTTTTAGTTGGTTCGGGTTGTGAGACTTTTGAAAAGGGCAAAAGTGCTCTTCAGAATTGGAGGTTATGTAGAATTTATTGCTTGTTTATACATAAATATGATGAACTGCACAAATATCAAAACCACGATTCTCAATTAATGTCAGGATTAATTCAACACGCAGGCATTTTGGATTGAACTGGGCATTTGTTGATCCAAGGACTCCTATTCACACTGGAGTGAAGTTCTGTGTCTGTGTTAAGGAACTATTCCCATGGCTCATGATGCCTTTACAAGTGGTGTATGTTAATGAAAACAGAAGCCCTAAAAAAGCTGTTGCCTCATTCGGTTTTGGCAGTGGAACTCTTTCAGGGCACCTACTTGTAAGTTTTCATAACATGATAATACTCATTTCACTTGAGATTATGTTATAACTGTTATATGCATTTCTTTCTGTAGTTTGTCTTGATGCCTTCTTTTGAAGGGTAAATGAAATGGATTAAGTACCAAATAAATAAACCTATAGAATCCAATCTCACAAAATATTTCTACACTCACTTGTACAGTTACATATTGGTATTGTTGGGGATTTTTTTATCCTTTTCACATCAAGAACAAAGCAAGAGAATTTACAACTCTCTTGAGAAAATGTGAGTTGTGATGTTTTTTTATATCCTCGATTGTTTTGTCCATTGCGACAAGAATGACTATCTCAGTAGAACATGTTAGAATAGTGGGGGGTGTACTGAAACTAACTTGGCATGTTGTGGTTGCTGAGGATTTTATTGTTGTGGATACTCCAGTAGCTCTAGCAATGTATTGAACCAAGTGGAGGAAAAAGATAAACATAGCTGCCCTCAAATTTTTGGGAACACGGGTTAGTTTGCTACTGTTTGATTGGTCCATCGCATCACTTTCCTTTTGCCAAGTTGATAGCAGCCGGCATGTGCACATCCCTTGTTGTGATTTAATGTGGTTTGATGAATTTTTTCAATAAGCATGAAGGGAACATTGCATAACTGTGTTTGATATAATCTTCCTTTTTAGACCCTCCAAAATGATTTAATTTGTTATTATCTTTGGCATATAGAGCTTATTATTTTCATTTGCTCATAACAGTATGACCATGCCACGATTTTGTTATCTGCAGGCCGGGGAAGAGCGGTTCTCAATTACACTGGATGAGAACAATAAAGTTTGGTATGAAATACTTTCATTTTCCAAGCCTGCTCATTTTTTATCAGTTATTGGATATCCTTATGTACTTCTTAGCCAAAAACACTTTGCTCATGCATCCTCCCTGGCAATGCGCCAACATTTATCTTCCTAGTTAACTACACACTGTACGGAAGTACCATTTTGGTCTGCTCTTTTCTTTTTAAGCTTAAAAAAACTATAATACACGAGGTGGAGTTCTTTTAACAGGTTATTTGAATATTCAATATTTTTAAAGACGTTTATCGCCTTAATTTTACCTCATGGCATGTATATTCTATAAAGGTAAATACACTTGTGGCATATGAGGTGTACTTTTATTTTCTACTGTGGCACGTAGTGATGGCAAAAAAACCCGCCCCGCCCCGCCCCGAACTTTTCGCATATGAGGCGTACTTGCATTTTCTACTGTGGCACATAGTGATGGCAAAAAAACCCGCCCCTGGGGCGGGATAATTTTATTTCTAGACAATTCATTCGTTAAAAATTCATTTTGTATTTGTATTTTATTCTTTAACAATAACATAACTCGAAACTTTGAAAATGTAAAAAAAAATAAACGGGGTAAAAAGTTGCCTCGTTCTCACCCCGTCCTGTCTAAGGCGGGACGGGGTTTTGGCGAATCCGCTCCGTTGCCATCCTTAGAGGCACGTGAAGTATGAACCTTAACTCAGGGTAACGTGGAAACATCTGAAGTCGAACAGAAGTGCTAGTTCTTATTGCATTTATTTATGATTAGATGATTAGGCCTGTCCAGCAATTGGAATAGAAATCTTCCCGCTGTTAAATTGGAACGAGATCCTTTAGCCTTGTTACCAACAGACCTTTGGATACTTATGATTGTTAAATATTTGAAAAAATTTCGCTATTCCATCTCAAATTGTTTGCGAATTAAAGCTTAGATATTTCACCTTTGTGATCTTCGAAAGCAATCATCACCTTCCCGATTGCTTTTCTACCCTTCAAGGCGGCAAAAGCAAGATTCGCCTGTCACCACAAACAGCTTAGATCAGGACACATTCGATTTAAACATATATTAATCCAAGCAAGCAGGACGGAGGGGAAGATTAAAATCAAGTATCAACTGAAATAATGTAATATCTACATGCTCTTTTCCAAGATTTGATAAGATATGAGAATGCTGGTACGAGAATTTTGATTTCTGAGACAATTATTGCCTGGTTTTCTACCCTTAATTATAATCATAACAGACTTATGTAAGCACTCATGTGAAGATACACATAGAAAATTCGAATTCCTTTTACATAGTCAAGGAACTAGTCGGGCTTCTGACCTCGAAGAGGCTGAAAGTATGGGAAATGTTTATGGTTATTAAACCCCTTGCCAGCCAGGATGCGAGCTCCTTCAAAGAATCTTCAAGTACAGCTGGTCGATGTATTTTATAGCTTCCCCAAAAGAGTCCATGAATTGTCTAGTTCTGCAAAATAAAATGTGCACTTGGGTTGAACATATGTCATCCCAAAATGAATAGTACGTTTGTTATAATAGCTTGGGTACAGATGTCAAGTCGTTATATGAATGATATAATCACATTAGAATATAATTTTATTTTCTTGGGTAAAAACAAATCTAGAATCCTTGGGATCATAAAATGCAAACAATTAGAGACATACCTTCACAAGAGCTCTTGTTCCCTGCCTGATCTGTTGGGGTACATCCCGCGATTTACTTCCTTCATAAAACTCTAAGGGCAAGGCCGTGGGGGCCCTCAAGGTTGGGGTTCAACCTCTTTTTTTTTTTAATATTTGCTGGGATAACAGGTATTTCCCCACTTGCAAAACCTATAATTAAAGGAAAGGAACAAACTAACCGATCATTATTAAGCAACTGTCCTGGAGCTTAGGCTATATCCATTTAGTATGCTACTGAACTAAGAGAGGATTGAGCGAGGGAGAAGAATGCAAGCTTTACTCTGCAGAAAACTTGGTGACCCAACTATACGAGTAGACTGTAGACGATTCGGATAATTCGCCATTAACTCTCTCAAAGGCTCACCCGATTCCACAACTCAACTCACCTACAGCAGGGAGAGTCCGAGTCAAAGCCAACAGCTTGAACTTCGCCAATTACCTTCAAATCCTCGGCAAGTACCAAGAAAAGCCACCTTTACCCTTCATACCTGGATCCGATTACTCGGGCACCGTCGAGTCGGTGGGATCCAATGTCACAAAGTTCAAAATCGCAACGCCGTTTGCTCCTTTGCTGGCCTCGGATCATTCGCCCAATTCATTGTTGCCGACGAAACTGAATTGTATGCATCTCCACTTACTTTACTTGATTTTCTTTCTTCTACTAGCTTGCACGGAAATGGGAACGACATTTGAATATGTTAGACACGACATACTGTGAAGAGAATGGATTTCAATAATTATGTTAAAGAAGTTTTTCAATCTCTGTTCTCTAATCACTCGCGTTGATGTTAATTTTAGTTTTTTTATCGCAAAAAGTTGATTTGGTGAGAAAGGAATAACGTTCTACTCTGTACTAATTTGGTAATGAGCTTATTTGGATTTTCATTTAATTTGAATTCTATCGGTGGATTGAAGAATTCGAGTACCAGATGGATGTGATATGGTTGCTGTTGGTGCACTTCCAGTCGCGTATGGAACATCACATGTGGCCCTCCTCCATAGAGCACAACTGCGTGCTGGTCCGGTCGAAGAGTATGTGGTTATGTTGCAATTGTATGAAATTGTAGGTACTGCTGGTTCTTGGCGCTGCTGGCGGTGTTGGAGTTTCTGCTGTACAAATCGGAAAGATCTGTGGCGCCATTGTTATCGCTGTTGCAAGGTACCAATTTACCGAATTTATTAACTTTTTAGACATTGCAAGTGTACGAATAGCAAGCCTTTTGTATCAAGAAGATGAATTTGTTTTACCTTGCAAAGCTTGTAGCAGCATAACTTAGGTTTGGCTGTCTGATAGGGGAGAGGAAAAGGTGAAGTATCTGAAGTCCCTGGGTGTTGATCATGTTGTTGACTCGAGCACAGGAAACATCATTGACAGTATCAAGGGATTTCTGAAGGCAAGAAAGCTTAAAGGAGTTGATGTTTTATATGATCCAGTTGGAGGCAAGTTGACAAAAGAATCCATGAAGTTGTTGAAATGGAGAGCACATATTTTAATTATGGAATAAGCCAAACTGCCGGGGAAAAACTTTCACAGGCTTGCTACAGGTCTTTCACAAGCAGGTAGGTCCAGGTGGGTCCCATGATTTTTGGATATTTTTTTAATGAGATGGGTCCCACCTGTTCTGTGAGAATCAATATAAACCCTATAAAATCGTGTAGCACATTCCTTTATGCTTAATAGAGCACTTTATCTCACATTTGGGGTGGGGGGAGGGGGTATTTTTTTAATAATGAGGGACCCTCTGAGGGGAGAGAATATGAGATGATAGCCTCTATCAGGCCTCTAAGAAGCTTAATTCGATTGGGAATGCTCAATTCCTAAGGAATTGTGGGGCAGGGAGCATCGGTACGAGCCTTACTCCACTCATATTGAATGGCGGCTCAATCCTTAAACAATGGTTTGGAATTTATTTTTATTTAAATTATATTTCATCAATTTTTAATAAAATTTACTAAAAAATTAATTTTAATCCAAACAGAAGCTAAAGGCTCAATTCATCTAAGCCAATTTCTAAAGTTGGATAATGTCTTGCCGACCTCTAAAGATTTGTTAAATTTAACTTGTGAAGAAGCGTGCCTTAGAAAGAGTCATATCAAGTCGTTTTTACACATCTACGTGAACAAATTAAAGATATTTCATAATAATTTTTTGAAGAAAAAATAATTGATAGAAGTTTGTTTAAAAAATAAAGGTACTTCATATTTTGGAGAAATTTCACCAATGGTCGTTATACATTTTATATGTGTAGCATCTATATTCCCAATCCTATTATTTGCTACACTCGTATCCTTCTAAATTTGTAGCGCATGTGTCTTCAAATAACAAAAAAAAGTTTATTTAGTCATGTAACGCTCTTATGATGTTAATGGACTAAAAGATCCTAGCTTGAGTTGAAATCCATTTGGATAATGACCTAAGTATTATCTTGACACCATAAATCGAGTTTTCAATGATTAAAAATATAGAGGAGACATTCAATTAAATTTCTAAGATATGAAAAAGAATATTGAACCTCATAATACCGAAGCAAGCTAATGCTCCATATTGAAAACTAGGAAGTGCATTCAACTAGTTCAACGAAAAAGAAACAAAGAAAGGTCAAACTATTTATTTTAAGAGTAATTAGCTAAAAAAAAAATGTAAATTAAATGGATATGGTAATTCTGAACTCGGGTCGGTCTGGTCCGGTCCGGCGGATGTTAAACTGATTTAAATCCGGAATATCAACATCACCACTTCTATTCCCGACCCCCTTCTCTCTTCTCTCTCTCCCTCCCTCTCTCTCTCTTTGTCGCTTCACTCCTTACCTTCTGCAAAACAGAGAGGAGAATTTGTCTGTACGTAAATTTTATACGTGCTTGTTTAACTACGTACACAAAGAATTCGAAACCCAGCTGAAAAAGGAAGAGAGACTGATTTTTCTTTACTTGGAAATTAGCCGTTGGACCTTAGGCGAGAATACTAAATTTGGTAGATTTTCGTGTATCTGTGTATGAACTTTAGGTTTTAGATTGTTATAAACGGTTGTATCGACGTTGAATTTTGAGATGGATGGTAGGAGAATAGCGGCGAGTCCACGGCCATGTCGTGGGCGGCGTGTGGTGGCGAAGAAGCGTCCCCGTGGGGGCTTCGATGGGTTTGTGAACAGTGTGAAGAAGCTCCAACGGCGAGAGATTTGCTCTAAGCGCGACCGTGCTTTCAGCATGAGCAACGCTCAGGAAAGATTCCGCAACATCCTTTTGCAGGTTAGATTTGTGTAAAAAGTCTTTTTTTTTTTTTTTAAGTGTTAGTTTTTATGTTATATATTTTATGTATTTAGATTGTTAAATTGATCTTCCAGAAAACTGAGTCGATTTTTTATGTTAATTTTAACATTGCTGAAAATTTAGGGTTTAGTTGCTTATTGATTTTCCATGGTGTCTGAGTACAACTCAGATGGAGATTTGTGCATTTCTCATGTTTAATCAGTTGAATATTACATGTATGTAGATTTGAATACCAGACCTAGATTTAAAAAATATATATAAATGCTTGTTTATAATTTTGGCCAAACACGAAGACAATCGTAGAAGATTGCTTTCAGAAAAATAAGGGAATGTCAAGAGGATATACTTTAGCTAAAAAAGTTGGGTTATTTTGGTTTTATCATTAATTAAGCCTCCATTTTTTATTTTATCATTAACTAATCTCTTTTTGGCAAAATTTATAAATCATTTATAAATTGTCATACTTCTTCATTTTCATCTATATATTTCTGTGGACCCAGAAGTACTATTTATTTATTCATCACTATTTTCTATTTATTAATAAATTAAACCGTTTATAAAATTCGTCCAAAATGGTGGCTAAATGGTTTTTGTTTAATGGAGCATATTTATGCATGCAAAAAGGGGAGCTGGGGGATTATCCCTTCTTCTTTTCTTTTTTTTTCCTTGGGGTGTGTGGATATGACCTGTAAAATGCCTTTTCCAACTGGTAGAGAATGCTTGATGAATGTTAGTGGGAGATTGCCAGTCCGGCACATTAGTTTGGAATTATTGATATTTGATTATCTATGTTGAAACTACAATCATGGAATCCTTAGTTAATGAACTTACCCTTTTGTTATACTTCTCATCGAAGTACTTGGCTTGTCCTTTTGTGAAATTTAACTCTACGGGTTTTAATCTTTAAATATCTTACACGCGCTCCTTCGATGCTTTGTACACATTAATGCAAGCACCTGCTGTAATATTTTACAGTGTAGATGAAAATTCTTGTTAAGTAAAGTTGCTAGTTGATAAAGGAAATTGTTATAATGATGATCTTTGGATATGCATGTAGGATGACGTGTTAAGTAGCATCCAGGATTGTTACTTAGAAAGTTACATGAATTCCAATTTTCAATTGCCCTGTCGTTTTTCCTTTTATTGTTAGACTTGGCTTTGATTGAGAAAGAGTTCAAGTTTGACCTCGTTTCCCCAGTAATTTCCTCACTTGCTAGCTTAAGGGATGAAGAATTTGCTGAATTTAATTTCCAGCTATTCAAGATAACGTAATGAGCCTAATGGCTATTTGAATATTCAGTCAAATTACTTGGAAGGTGTGAAGGTGTAGAGATATGTTTTTTTTTTCCCTTGATTCTGATGGCTTGGCCTAGTCCTCTGTCATACATAGCTATTTTTAGTTCTTAAAAGTAATTGTTAGATTTCTAGAAGTAATGAGTTTGAAGGGTGATCTTGGTATTTTCTTAAATCTTTATATTCATGGTCTCACTGAAATTATATTGGATTCAGGAGGAATATGATACTCATGATCCCAAGGGTCATTGTTCCATGGTGTTGCCATTTCTCAAGAAGAGGTCACAAATTATTGAAATAGTTGCTGCCCATGATATTGTCTTTGCTCTTGCTCAGTCTGGTGTCTGTGCAGCATTTAGTCGAGGTAGATGATTTACAAAGGAAAATGACAAATTACCTTTGCAAAAAAATTTTGCCTATATTTTGCTTTTCAGATTTGATATTGAAATGTGACTTGTATATTTCTTGGATGCAGAGACAAATCAGAGGATATGCTTTTTAAATGTCAGTCCTGATGAAGTCATTCGGAGCTTATTTTACAATAAGAATAACGATTCACTCATCACCGTCTCAGTTTATGCCTCAGATAATTTTAGTTCGTTGAAATGCAGAACCACAAGGATTGAGTATGGGATTCTGTGCATCATTTTAAATGATTTCTATTAATTCTTGCACTTTGTTACTCATGCATGCCGCAAAACTATTTCAGATACATTCGAAGGGGTAAACCAGATGCTGGTTTTCCTCTATTTGAGTCAGAATCATTGAAATGGCCTGGGTTTGTGGAGTTTGATGATGTAAATGGGAAGGTTCTTACTTATTCTGCACAAGATAGGTAAATTTTAAAAAATCTCATTGTGTTATCACACGATTGCTGCACTTTGTTGACATATGTATGTTTCTTCTCTTGTCAGCATATACAAGGTGTTTGACTTGAAAAATTATACGATGTTGTACTCCATCTCGGATAAAAATGTTCAAGAGATTAAGATCAGGTAATTTTTTATGTTGACGTAAATCCATACACGTGCTGGCTTCAATTTATAAATCTGGTATAATAGACATTTAGGATGCACTAAATGGTGGTCCAAGTATGGTTTAACCATTAATATTTTGCATTAAATAATTTGTTTCTTGTCTCAAAATAAGTGCTATTGTGATATATTTCATAGCATGGTAACATGTCTAAGTCTCTTCTCTCATAGGCAAAATAATTTTTTTCTTCGATTTATCAAGGGAAATGTGCACAAAGGGTTAAGATTGCTCATAGATTGCTCAGATTTACATCTAAGGTTGAAAAAAATCTGAAGATTATCACTCCTTTAGAGAACTGAAGTTTACATATGTTTATTAGGATGATATATTGTTTATTGATCGCTGAGCGGAGCGGTTCTCATGGTGCCACTTGCCAGTATATATTATTTTTTAAATTTGCATTTATATTTCATGAGGTTTAAATGATTTTAAAAGTTCATGCATATGTAAGCTTGTCTGAACATGGTTGATTCTTATGTTGTTTTCTAATGACAATTAAGTGGTCAAAATTTCAAACTGTCCGTTAATATTCAGCAGATGCACACGAGCACATTGCTGTGTTGCTTCTGCAAACATGTGAAGCTGCTTTCTGAAGCTGTGGTTGGCTCTCGCACCAATTAAAGTTTGATGTTGGAGTAAGTAGGTGTTATATCATATTTATTTAAGCTTCTTTTCTCATGTGATCTTTGGAAAACAGTCCAGGAATCATGTTACTAATATTTACCAAGGCCAGCGGATATGTTCCTCTAAAGATTCTTTCAATTGAGGATGGAACTGTTCTTAAATCTTTCAACCATCTACTTCATCGAAACAAGAAAGTGGATTTCATTGAGCAGTTTAATGAAAAGCTTTTAGTCAAGCAAGAGAATGAGAATCTTCAGATTCTTGATGTAAGTATCTTGCCATCTTCAATTACTTTGAAGTTCATGTCCAATAAAATCTTACTCGTTTTTGCTGCAGGTCCGCGATTCTGAATTAACAGAAGTTAGCAGAACGGAGTTCATGACTCCATCTGCATTTATATTTTTGTATGAGAACCAGTTATTCCTGACATTTAGAAACCGAACGGTAGCTGTTTGGAACTTCCGTGGGGAGCTTGTGACTTCATTCGAGGATCACCTTTTATGGCATCCTGATTGCAATACCAACAACATTTACATAACGAGTGATCAGGACCTTATCATTTCGTACTGCAAAGCTGATTCCGATGATCCCTTATCAGAAGGAAACGGTATGTTTTAAATAAACATAGATACTTCAAAGAAAATTCTTAATTTCAAAAAAGGACACCTTTAAACCAAAATCAATATGCATCCATTAGAAATTGTATATAAAGCGACTAAATCTTAGTTTTGATTTAAGATTGAGATGGAATATACATTTCCCTTTCTAATGGTTTCCATTGGTTTGGTCCTCTTAATATGATCGTGTGGGCAAATATGTAATGATGTACACATTGGTGCAGCTGGTTCTATCAATATCAGCAATATCTTGACCGGGAAGTGTCTTGCAAAAATAAAAGCAAGCAACAGTCTTCCCTCGGATGGTTGCAGTTGCAGTGCAAATTCTGGTGTCAGAAGTTGCAATTCTAAGAAGCGAACGCAAGCTTCTAGAATTAGGAGCACTATGGCAGAAGCGCTGGAAGACATCACAGCTCTCTTCTACGACGAAGAGCGTAATGAGATCTACACTGGAAATAGACTCGGCTTCGTCCATGTGTGGTCTAACTGAAGGTTCTCGACTGCCTCATTGCCCTTTAAGATTTTACATACATTCTTCCAGTCGGGTGCTGCCTCATTGCAAAACTACCTGAAACTGTGTAACATTCGACTAAATAGTTGTGTCTGCACGCATGTTTAACGCCTTTAGTTTGTTATAACCCCTCGAAAGGGGGATGTTTACTTTCACATTGTACTGTTTTGGATCAGCTAAATTAGATTGCGACTATTTGGTGTTGTAAATGTGTTACCTTACTTGGGGTTCTCATATGACCCGTAATGGCCTTCAGGCAGGTCATGGCATTTATGTTTGTGTTTGAAGTGTTCGGGTCAAAAAATTGATTTGTACCCTCGGATTTGCATAAAAGCTGAGTTCTTTGCCTATTCAGCTTGTTCTTGTGCATGGATCAACCATTAATTGGAGAGGGCAAATCTGAATCACATAAGATGAAGACACTCGTATGAAAGTGATGATGTTTAACACGAGAAATAAGCAGCCAGAATTGATTTTGGAAAAACTTTCTTCTTCTGAAGACGTAAAAAAGTATTCTCAGCTAAAGAAATCTTATACATTGTCTGGTTGATTGACCAATTGAACAGTAAGAGAGAACTTAAAATCTTGTTTATCCCTACTATATAAAAAGGGGAATGTGAAGACACTATTGAGGGGAACAGTGTTTTAATCCATTTTATCTCATTGTAACATTTTTTTTCAAGTGAGGGAATAAAAATGATGTCGTTTGCCTTGCTTGATATATATTTTATTATACAGTAAGAAAAGGCAATCAGTCTAAATTTATTGTAACACGCAACTTTCCATACTTACCACCAAAAATTTCAAGTAATATTTAGATATGTTTAATTTTAAAAAATAAATATTAATAAAAAGATTACTATAAAATTAAATATCGTTTAGAATTATTAAAAAATAAAAATACTAATAATATAAGACAAAAAATATTTCTAAAAAGTAAAAAGTTACTTGTGAGTAAAAAAATGAAGAGAAAGAAATTCAAAAGAATTTTAAGTTGAATTTTTTTTTTTTTTATAATGTAAACAAAAAAAAAATGAAAAATAAATAAATAATAAATCTCCGTGCACGGAGACTTAACGGAGTCACACGGCTCTTCTCCGTGGGCATGGAGACATATTTAGTTATTTTTATTTATTTTTCATTTTTTTAACATTATAAAATATTTTTTTTCAATTTAAAATTCTTTTTAATTCTTTTCTCTTCGTAATATCTTATTATATATTTTCCCTTTAACTTACTAATACGCAACGTTTCATACCTCTCACTAGCTTAAAATTTAAAGTAATATTTAAATATATTTAAAATTTAAAATTAAATATTAATAAAAATGTTACTATAAAATTAAATATCGTTTGGAATTATTTAAAAATAAAAATACTAATAATAAGATAGAAAATATTTTTATAAAATGTAAGAAGTTACTTGTAAGTAAAAAATTGAAGAGAAAAAAAAATTTCAAATTGAAAAAAATTATATTTATAATGAAAACAACACAAATATTAAAAAAAAAAAAAGTCTCTCCGTGCACGGAGAGAAATTTTTTTTATTTATTTTTTGACCTTTTTATATAAATTATATTATAGATATTTTTTTTCAATTTAAAATTGTTTTTAATTCTTTTCTTTTCATAATAAAACTTAATTTTTCAATTTTTCACTACCATATAAAAAAGTGAATGGGAAGTCACTGTAGCAATGAACAATTTTCACTCCATGCGACCTTTTTTTCCTTGATCTACTTCCAAATTTAAATTTATTTATTTTTATTTTGTTTTTACTTGTGCGTATAAATTTCATTTTTGATTTATTTTTTTTCTCTTGCTTTGGACAAAACGACGTCGTTTTATCTTAACTTACGGCAAAACGAAGACATTTTACTCCACATGAATCTGATATAGTACATTTTCTCCATTTTTATATGCTACCTGACCATGCCTTTTCAAATCTATCATTTTTGCTTCTTCTCATGCACACACACTTCCCACTCCTCTCTCCTTTATCCTCAAATATTTGGTCTCTATAATGCTTCACACTTAAAAAAATTCTTATTTTGAGTCAATTTGAATTTCAGGTAATCCATAGTTAGATTCTTCAACCTTTCATTTTCTTTTTCTGTGTATTCCTATTTTGTGTATAAACTAAATTTTTCTTTTCAATTTTTTTCTTGGTATTTAAGACTTCAATATTTGAAGCTGATTTTTCCCAACGGATAAGTTTGTTTCCTTTTTTCCTTCTTTAGTTCTGTGTTTATATTTTTTTTTTAACGATGGTTTATGTGGCTTCCAAAGTGTTCTTTTTAGTTTTTTTATTTGCTGTTTAGATTTATTTTAGTTTTCTATTATTGACTGGATATCTAGAGTTTCAACGCGTTATTTGTTGTTTGTAATTTCGTGTTATTTTCGTTTTAGGTTAGATCTGAAAATTATTTTTGGTCTTCTATATTTTCTTTTTCTATGTATTCCTATTTTGTGTATAAACTAATTTGTTTTATTTATTTTCAATTTTTTTCTTGGTATTTAGGACTTCAATATTTGAAACTGATTTTTCCCAACGGGGTAAATTTGTTTCCTTCCCCCCCCCCCCCTTCTTTAGTTCATTGTTTGTATTATTTTTTTAAATGATGGTTTATGTGGCTTCCAAACTATTCTTTGTTTTTTATTTACTGTTTAGATTTATTTTGGTTTTCTATAAGTTGACTGGATATTTAGGGTTTCAACGTGTTATTTGTTGTTTGTAATTTTGTATTATTTTTGTTCTAGGTTAGTGTCCTTTTATCTTCTTCTTCTTCTTCATTTTTTTTTAACGCTTATAGTCTTTGTTTTGAAATTTACTTTTTAAAAATATTATTTTTGTTGTTGGTAACCTCAAGATTTACTCTTCGAATATTTTTTTTACTGTTAAAGTGTTGAAAGTTCAAAAATTATTTTTGCTATTCTATATTTGAGCTAAAAATTTAGGTTTTGAAGGTTTTTCTTTTCTCTTTGTTGAAGATTTGCTATTCTAATTTGTTATTTGGTTAGTTATTAGTTGATGATGAATAGTAAGTGTTCCAATGTGTTATTTTGTTCTCTATGAACTGTGTTATTTCAATTTGAAGTTAAAGCTGAAGTTTTAGGATTTTAATGTCCTTGTGGCTTTATTTATTACACTTATTGTCTTTGCTAATTTTGTTGTTGGTGACCTCAAGATTTAGTCTTGGAAGACATTTTCTTGTTGTTGAAGTGTTGGTAGTTCGAAAATACTTTTTAATCTTCTATACTTGAGCTGGAAATTAGGCTTTGAAGGTTTTTACCTCCATTTTTTGGTTGAAAATTTACAGTATCTATCTATTATTTGTTTTTTTATTAGTTGATGATGAAGAGTAAGGGTTCGAATGTGTTATTTTTTTTCTCTATGACTTGTGTTATTTTTGTTTGAAGTTAAAGCTAAATATTTAGGATTTTTATGTCCTTGTAGTTTCATTTCTTGCACTTATTGTGTTTGATCTCTCTATGTATTCATTCATTTCTTGATCGCCTAAAAATTCTTGTGTTTATACTGATTTCTTTGTCGTCCAAGTGCATTTTACCTATAGAAACATACATACAACTCATTGACTTGGTATTCATTTTCTATAGTCGAAAAATTTCATGTCATCTCATGATTTCTATGTCCAATGTGTCTATAAGTGCATCTTTTCGTCTTCTATTTCATATTTAAGTTCAAAATTTACCCTTTAAACCTGTTATTTTTCTGTGAGGTTTAGAATTAGTCTTTAAAGGCAGTTGAGATCGAAAAATTAATTGGTAAGTGCGACAAAAGTGAAGAATCTGGAATAATTTATCCAAAGGTAAGTAAAATTTAAATTCAAGAATTCTGTCTTAGAAAATGGAGATTTTTCATAGCAGGTTTAATCGATAACTTAATGCTTGTTTTTTATGACAATGCTAAGACTTGTCTTAAGTCCATTAATATGTATATTACAGTATTGCATATGTTGAGGGATATTTGGCATTACATTGTTGAAATTTAATTCAGGAAAATCTATGCCATTTTTGATATTATTGTGGTTGATATGTTAACATTTTAAAATTTGTCTCACTGTTTCTTGATAGTGTTGTCCAGTCCTTTATTGCATTTTTTACTTCATGATTCTTCACGTTTTAAGAAAATTTATGGATTTTGGTGCCTTTATTCTATATGTTTGATTGTGGGTTTGAGAAAATGATGGTTCTGACCTATTAATTTCATGATGTTTATTGACAAAGTTATCACCATTCTTCTTAGTAACTCAAGTTCTTGAAATTCTTCAAATTGATGTAACTATGTTTGACAATTTATTAATCCATTTTTTATATTTACAATCTTTATTTTTGGATTGTGGTCTGTAATCATCGACATTTTGGCAGATTCTCTACGTGATTCCGTTCAGTTTATCGAGTGGTCACCTACTTCATCTCCCCGTGTCTTGCTTATAGCTAATTTTCATGGCTAGATTACCATCTGGACTTGACCTTTTCCAGTATGCTAGCCCTGTTGAGCTTGTTGAATTACAAAACTATAACATTCTCGTTTATCATATAGATGTACCGTGAAAACATTTATAAATTAACATGAACATTCTGATGCTAAAATCAAATTATTGTTCTGACTTCTGAATTCCAACACCATGCACTCCGGTGATTATTATCCCAATGGTAAAGAGTTGCACCAGTATTGACAATTTTTGGATAATATAAATTCTACACATTCCACACTAATAATAACATAATAAATACAATACTCGTACAACGCACGAGACGAAGACTAGTTGTAAGAAAAAGAACTATGTTGATCTTTGGAGTACCAAAGATGCATTCATAACATCTTCCGTAAAGATGATTAGATAACACTCGACTATAGATATGCTCTCGGTGTTCTAAAGTAGCGAAAGAAGCAAGTTTGTCAGTCCCATTTATGAGAATACTGCAGCGAGGTATCTAGTATTTCATGGTCTATTATGTGAGCCTTTTTAGAGTTGCCCATCATAGACAAGATGGAATAGAGAGGCTTCGTGAATATATAGCCAAACATGCACCGAGGAATTTTATAAACATTTGGCATAAAGATAGAAAAATAGCTGACCCAAGAGACAAATGGAAGTATGTTCAGTTTAGGGAGCCAATATTTAAAAATAAGCTCCAAGAAACTCTATTTCAATTTTTTAAGATTTAAAGGGTAGATTTAAATAGTCAAACTAACTCCCTATTCTTAATTAACAATGATAGTGTTTAATAAATTACAAATTCCAGTACTCTGCAATTTAAATTATTCAAATCACATTTGAATTAATTGATGGTTAGCATATAAAAAAATATATTGAATGAGAGATTAGGAGAAATCAATAAATGTACAGTTCGAAAAAATAAAATAAAGTGTCAAAATAGAAAGCAATGTTGAAGTGCATATAAAAATCTCTCCAAATTTAAAAATGTTCTCTATAATTATGCATAAAATATTTTTTTATAATTAGAGTCTCTTGAAGATGTTCTATCAACCATAATTTACAAAGCATGATTGGAAACCCACTCTATTTAACCGTAAGGAGACGAAACACCCATTTGCATACTAACATCAACGGAGATCGAACCAAAAGTAAAAAATAACCATTATATAACGGGAACGAGATTTCAACAGTATTCTTTGATGGGGATGCGGGGGTTGGTTGGTGGGTTCGACAGACAGAACGATTGGCATAACAAATGCAAAACACACACAGCATTGACAATATTCATGGAGGGGTAGAGCCATGTTGCTTACTGATCCAGCACAACATAAGAATGGCTGGCTACTTTTGGTCAAGAAGTTTGTAGGTTTCTCTGTTTAAGGTACTGCAAATGTGGAAATATGATCTCTGCATGTGATCCATAATATCGGGAAAATATTGCAGCCAATCGATCCAGGTCATCTGCAGCAATGTCGTGACCCATGGATAGCTGAACGGATATTAGTTTAATCAATTCGTTTCCGATGACAATGTGGTTTGGGTCATAGAGCTTTTCAAGGATCTGTTGACAAAATACTATCATTCATTAAAAGTTAAAGCTCATTAAACTGCAAGAATGTTAGAAACTCAAGCATATTACATTGGGCTACAAGAAATATCAATGAGAGTAAATAAATGAAGAGCTTATGTTGCCATTTCGACTTGGGACACTATGCTTCAAAAAAATATTAAAATTGCAAGTTTGGATTACACTATTGGACAGGATTGAACACTTGAATAATAAGATTTTAACTTCTTTTTTCTTTAATAATGTTGAGTGTAATTCAATACTCCCCGTTCAATCATGTAATATCATAGTTATCAGATCCAACCCGGACACCAACTCGGACAATGCAATGGGTCCGTGGGTCAGTGGTTCAAATAGCGACACGGTGGTTCGACCGGTGGGTCAATTCTCATCAAATATATATATGAACTATTTCTATTTTATGATAAATTCCGACATTTTCTACTACCAACTAAATTAATTTATGTTATTTTGGTGCCTAAAGAACAACCTTGTGAAAAAATTCAACAAACACTAGATCACATATTATGAAAAATCCATTTGCAACATCAAAATCAACAACTAGTGAGTAGTGACCAAAAACAACATGTCAACGTTCAACAAGAATCCAGTAAGAACCCATATACAAAACACTCATCAAGCAAGAAATCAAATAACCATCGTGAACTTATGCATTCCAAGTTAAAGCATTCACCTATAAAAACAAATTCATCATCAAGAACATCATATTTTCATTTATACATTACCCATCCATAAAACAACACGGTACCCATTATTAGCCTAAAGAAATAAAAATTCATCAAGAAAGAAAACTAAAGGACCATTGTCCGAAGTTACTACAATCGTCTAAAGATTGAAGCAGTCATCAACAGCAATTTTTAAATTTACGCATTACCCGTAATATGGCAAATTGTTATTTAAAATGAGGGGAATCTCTTATTTTCCATGGGAAGCTAACAGGTGACTATTTATGCTAAAATCATTCTCCCATAAGACAGCTCCAAATTTGAAATTAAAGTTGCACAAAAAATCTTATTTTCATATATCTCAATGGTGCAAATTTGAAACTCATCAACAAAAATCTTAAATTCTAGACTTACATGTTCTTCTTTCATTTAATCCAACTTGAATCTGAAGATTTAGATTCATGGGAAAGGATCTGTAGAAGATGGCAGAAGGGTTTTCAGTTTTTTGGTTTAGCAGAGCTGTAGAAGACGATGGAAATTGGAAATTTTTCAGGTTATCTGAGTTTATATGAAAATCTGTGGGCCGTCCGGTTCACTTAAAATTGGTCAGGCGGGTTTTCGAAAACCGGGCGGTTCAGGCGAGTTAGTAATGGGTTAATTGCACATGGAAACAATTGAGTCACCCGGACCGGACCAAGGAATGGTTCGCCAGTTTCCAGACTGAACTGGCCGGTCCGGTCCAGGTTTAATAACACTGTGTAATATCCAATCCTCCCCACCAAACATTGCCAAAATAGTCCAAGGAAACGATAACACAATGGTGCAGCAAATTACTAGCTTGTTAATTGTTATAACACTTTATAAAAGAATATATCAAAAACTTTAATATTTCCCCAACAAAATCTTTCTTCTTAATAGACCATATGAAACAGAGGTTACCTCAACTGAAGCTCGACAATGGTCTAGTGCAGCTTGCAAGTCCCCAACTAGACAAAATGCTTGGGCGACATTGTCCTCCACCTGATAATGTTAAACGGTATCATAAAATGAGCGAGGCCTAGACGGTTACCACAAAACTAGGAATCAGCCCGAAAACTGGTCTGGCTATAAACTAAAATAATATAAGAAAAAGCAGTACAAAAACGAGTCAACCTGCAGGTTCAACTGGGCTAGGTTAACTTGGTGAATCAACCAGTTCAACCAAGAATCAGTTAGACCGATCATGAGTTGACTGGCTTTTCAGTTGAGTTTTTAGGAAAAACTTAAGGAAGCAAAAGAACATTGCTTGATAAGGAGGGATTGGGCCTTGACAGTTGACATATAAAAAGCTATGCTGGAATGTCCTTGACATCACAGAACCTTAAATATTAGGTTTTTGTCTTATTTTGATGAAAATTAACTTAGGTTTGCGAGTACTTGTAGTGTATATTTATTTATTTATGTTTGACTTCCAGTTCCATCCTAATTGAACCCATTGACCCTTGCCCCTTTTCTAGGTCAATGCCCGGCCACGTTTTAAAATATTGAGTTAACTAAAGTCACAATTCTTATCCATGGTTCATAGTATTAAAGAGCAAGCAATATGCAAAAGATCTCCAGTAGGATGAATATAATGTTAGCAAAAACACATCACGTCATTCATACACAAGCAAAGCTTACCGTTCCTTTATAACTCACCTCAGCTATTCTCTTGTTGTATGGATGCAAATGCATTCTGAGAATATCAATAGATTTCAAGGCATCCAAAAGTGCAGTAAATGGGACTCCATTGGAAGCTATAGCTTCTTGCAACCTGATGAATATTATACGTCAAAGAAGCATAGGATTAGTAGTGTACCTATACATCTTAGATGTGCATATGCACACATAAAGACCCATGCACATTCTATTACTGATGTAATTATATCATAAAAATTATGATTGTGTACACAATTAAATACAGATAACTATTGGCATGTTTATGATCAATAATACCTGCTGACACAAATCTCAGCTTTGACAATCGTTGCTCGTGAAGCTTCTATATCATGATATGAACCACAACTCCAACAACGCCCCGGCTCACACTGACCATTTTGACAAGTTTGTCTAAACAAGTGATGAGCCACTTTTTTGATGTCATCATCAAGCATATCAGCCTTCTATGTATCAGGAAATTCAAAGTCAGACGATGAAAAAAAAAAATTAGTCGTTCACAACTTTAATGTAATCATGATCTCATAGTGTGTGTGTGTGTGTGTGTACATAATCTGATGTAAATGTGATATTATCGACCGCAAAAATTATCCTGTCAAGTAGAAAAAATGTATAAAAATGTTGGATGATTATAATTGTAAATTTAAAGTAAAACTAGCTGCTCATGTGAATTCAAAAGAGAGGATAAAAAACACGTGCGAATTCTAACAGGCGAGTCCGTTCCCTTTCCAAGTTAAATCTTTAAACGAAACAGAAAGGTATCGTTAATAGCCTTCTCAGAAAAAGAGTGTTATTTACTCTAGAAAATGATGAAGATTACATATGAACATGTTTTACTGTAGAAAATAATGAAGATAACACATGAAGAACAATGCCTGCTTAAGAGTCCTCCGAGTTTCAAGGGTACCACACGAGTTGTTAAGTTTCTGTTTCTCATATTTGGCAACACAGCCATCCAGGACTACTCCATAACAATTTGGTTTAGTACACCGATAAGCACTTATGAAAAGATCAGATGGATTTAGACGAGCACAACCACTACATTGACAGATAAATAAGTATCGATCTTTCAACAACTGCTGACGGTCTTTGCAGGCACACTGTCCAACCTGCAAAACAAATTACTATCTCTGTCATCTTTCTATTTGATTGTAGTGGAAGTGTAAATTGGGATTTCCCTATTGTTCCTAGTCATTTCAAGGGCAAGCATATAATTTATGATGAAAAAGACGAGTTTCAATAGAATGCTCGAGAGTTCTTGCAGGATGGTACCATGCACTGATATACCTTCTAACAAGAAAGCTTTTACAAACAAGCCAATTCATTTGGGACCCTGCAATCAAAGGGCCAGGGGCTCCGCTTTTTTAAGAGAATTATTCAAAGAAGATATGTCAAAGTGGCTTCTTACTTCCAAACAGATACCTTTATGTCTACAGACAAATAATGGTTAGTGAAGAAAGCACTTCGAGTTGTTATTACTCAGCACAACAGAAATTTCAAGCATAAAAGTCATAACCAATTTAGAGAGAATATGACTACTCTGAAGTAGCATATCTTGGAACGTTGACAAACTGATAAATACACATTCCAACATTTAGCAGCACAGGGGGGACAAAGAGGGAATATTAAATTAATAGAAAAACCTGTGGGCCATAAGAGAGCTCTAATTCGTGTCCTGTTGCTACAAATTCTGTTGCTCGTACGTAGAGAGTGCGTGAAAGGAAATATGCATGAACATTTGGCTGGCAGGAGTGGTTGAAGAAACTGCCAACTGCATATACGGCTTGACCCACTCTTACCTGAAAATGTCATTAAACACGCTACTAGAATATTAAATCTATAGCATTGTGCTTCAACCAAATTGACAGTGTAAACAGCACAATATTCATTTGGTTACATAAATATAAAAACAGGCGATTTTGATTGGAAAAGAAGACCCTACAAAGGGAACTTGAGATCCCATTGTGTCAGATGTACTATTATTAGTCAAAAGATGAATCTTTGTCTATGAATTTGTTGTGTATGTGGCTCATATAGAGTGAAACCACATGTTAATTGGGTCAAATTGGCTGATGTACGGCAATATTTTCTTATACTGGCCCCTAAAGTCTTGTATGGGATTGGGCTGGGGTTAGGGCTAGCATAAATATTGATGATGTAACCCTATTATTCCTACTGAATAAAATATCTCCTCTCCGCTCCACTCCTTGTGGACATAGGCATATAGCTTAACCACGTTAAATACTTGTGTTGATGTATCTCTTTCACTTCTCTATTATTGTATATAAAATCCAACAGAATCTTTATGTATACATGGTTCCTTCCTGAAGAAGTGACTGATAGGGAGAGAAAATATGAGGTTTTTGAAAACTTTTTAACATACACAGGGCGTGACTATGCTCGACATAAGACACACACATCCCCTCCCAAAAAGTAAAGGAAAAGGACCGTAGAATACTTCTAATTATTTACTATACAACTTCTGTTGCGAAGGAATATCCAAAACAGGAAAATAGATACAACTCGAAATGTCATTATGCAAAAATGTATACTTCGACTCAAAATGTAATTATGCTTTCATTTCCTTGCTCCATTGGTTCCACTGCAATGAAGAGCTTGCATCCTTTGTGCATACAATTGTTTTTATTTGATGTAAAATCAATCTGCATCTAAGGACTCCTAAGCAGAATTAAATTTTTAATATTTCTATTTTAAGATGGCATTGCTCAGTCATTCACATTGAACAATGTTCAAGTGAAGTTATGGTATATCATTTGTTTCTATCATTTGTTTCTTAATGATCGTTCGGCAAAAACTCTTCCAGAAATGTGGCAATACTGAGGAAAAGTATCAAACACCTGTTCCACAGTACTTGTTATGTCATGATCCAAACGTCCCTTTAAATCTGGAATTTTCATACGGACAATTGCCATGGAATTGACCCTGATTTGCGATAGAAGTATAACAATCTGCATTAAGAAATCGAAAGAAAAATTATGGCGTAATGTGGTAGAAATTTATATAACAAGCAACATAGAGTTCCATCAAAATTTCAACACCAAAAACATTTAGGTTTCTGGTAAAATGATGACATGTCCATGAAAAGATGTTACCAAAATGTGATTTTTGTCTCCTGTCTTTTTGGCATAGTCAATAAAAGTAGAAAGAATGAAAAGACAGATTCAGTCAGATCCCATATCTATTTAAATAGCAATTTGAGCAAACATGACATAATTACAGTATACAGCGACTTATAGGCTAATAGTTCAAGGCATAGACTGATATTCAAATTGTCCATGGACGAGTGTGTCGCACAAAAATCTAAGAGCTTTTGGGAGAGCAAAAACTAGCTCCAACATGCCCAAAACTGTCTTATCATTTAATTGTAGAAATTATACCCAATATTATTGATCATAATTAATTTTCCCAGTTATTCTAATTCATTGGTGAGAGAATATTCTTCGTTCTCCATAAAGTCAAATACCAAAAGTAGTGGCTATTACCTGTGAAGCAATAACTGCACTCCTGAGAAGTTTCAATTCACAAATATGCTCAAGGCAGTATGACAGAATAATAGAATAGATATGCAACTCCAATTTACTCTCAGGAGAAAGTTTTCCGTAGTTGTGACAAAGATCCTAGAAATAAACAAGACCATCAGTTGCCATGTGAAATGCTTTCCCAAAATGAGAAGATAAAACATAAATTAAAGCAATTACTTTTTTACAAATACCAGAATTCCATGGATGTTAAAATCAACACTACAGTGACCTTGTTGCTGCGTATATCTCATCATGACACGGCTGGCCAGAACTATGTCAGATGGCAAGACGGCAGGCCAATGCACACCTTGACATTCATGTCTATGTTCTGCACTGTGCTCATTATTTGAACTAAAAATACCAACTGAAGTAACTTGTCTAACATAATCTTCAAGCTCATCTGATAAATTTTCAGGAAATTCACATCTTCTCAGATGGTTGCAAAGATCATATCCTCCCGCTTGCAATTGACATTGGACTGAGCAGTATAACGGTACAGAACAAGATGTACAGGGCACAGTATCAGCTGGTAGTTCGTTGAAGCAGAAGTGACAGTGAGTATCTCGGCACTGCTTCAATATGATCTGCATAGCACTTTGTGTAAGAAAGAAGACATTTTGAAAACCAAATTCATGAAGGAATTTGGCCTGTCTTATAAGTGGCAACGGGATATGGTTTTAACCAACAACTTGGCAATGCATTAAGTAATTAGCCAAGAAATATGATAGAAAAGCAACGTGATGCAAGCACCCAACTTGCTAAATAGTGATTGCAAGACTACAAGAGTGGCACAATTCAGTCTTAAAAAAGACGTGATTTTAGAAATTATTTTAAGGATAGAAATGGATCCAAATAATAATATAGTCCAATAACTTTGCTGTCAACAAAGATTTAACTAATACCGCAGCATAAGGATCTTCTTTATGAATTAAAGTGGCTTGAGGTATGTCACTTAAAGAAGCCATTCCCCTTCCTTTCGTTGCTGTACAAACAGAGTGTAACTTTATTTGGAGTGGTTCATCTGTCAAATAAGACCTACATTATAAGACATTAAGGAAGTAAAACAACCTATTGTTGCACATGGCCGAAAAGGAAAAAGATGATGAAGCTAAGGCATCATAAACAAATAATAAAACAAAAATGTTGGAGATATGCTATCAAATGTCCTACATCATGTAGATAGTGGAATGATCTTGGGTATCTAAGGAGATTGGGCTACTCCTAATTGGTTAAACTTTTGGGATGGAACCCAAGTCCGAACAACTGGATAAGAGCCCTGTTCCATACTTAACCGTGTAGATGCACAACATAAATCTTCAAACAGGTTCAGAAGATTAGGAAGAAAGTGTGGACCCCATTTAATTGCAATGGCAGGATATTACAAGATAATGAACTCTGTGAGATTAGACGCCAATGGATATGTGAATCTGGTTGAACTGAAAGGAGATGGATGGAAGAGGTCATTGCTTGAGGGGAGTAATGACCAAGGTTTTAAAAGGCACGAGGCATGGCATAGTCAAACCTCAAGCCTTACAAGGCTAGGCGTTTTCCTAATTCTAATATTATTTTAATCATTCTAATACCATTTATAATTTATTAAGTAACTATTCCTTTTAGTTAATTAGCTTATTCAACCTTAGAAACTGAAAAAATGGACAAAATATATTATAATTAAAAAAATAAAAATTAGGCACTCCTTTTGGCACCCAGCCCAGAATTAGGCGGTTCAGAAATAAAGCCGACCACTTTTTTCTGTACTTCAATCATATGTCCTCTACTACTAGTGGGTTAACCTTTTGGGATGGAACCCCAAGTCCCAATGGAAAAGATTTAGGGAAGATCCACTTAATAAAAATCATGTAACAGTAATCAAATAACTCAATAATCTGCAGCATGACACGTCCCTTCTTTTATATATATATGTAAAAAAAGTTTGTCTCAAGAACTGAAGGTCACACACCCATTGTAGGTTAGGAGAGGCGTAAATACCAGCCATACATGACTCGTTAATTGCAAGTCAAAGTATCTATCCATCACACTTGGTTTGAGTGGAAAAAGATGTCAAATGACCAATTATTCACAAATGACATCAATCATATACGGAACTTTTCTTCAATACTTAAAATCAAAACTTAAAGAGTGTTTTATAAACACAGATTGCTGCAGACAAGTGATTTCCCAAGCGCCGAGAAAATGCAGCAGCTTGGAATAAAACTAGTGAATTACTAATTATACAATAAATGTAAAAGAATAGACGTGAAGTTTATTAAGGAGAGAATTCTAAGAGTGAAGATACCACCAAGGATTTCGGAGTTTCCATCATTTGGTTCCTCCAGCATACCACTTATCTGCTTGGATTGGTCCAAGATCATCCTCAATTCACTTTCTATCTGTCTTTTTCCGTTCAAAGATGTCTCCATCTTCAGTGATACATTCAAGTCTTCAGTTGCATCTTTATAATTTCCCAACGAAGCATTGGCCTTAGCCCTCCTAAACCAGGCCTACAGTAAGATTATTTAAAAGAATTCAACCAAAGTTGCATGACATAGCAGAAATCCAAAAATAAAATGGCAATATGTGCTTCCATTCCTTGTGAATTTAATTTATATAGATTTACAATGACTCGTTGACATTTTTCCAAGCCAAAGAAACAAGTCAACAGACAATAGCTCCAACAGAGACTTCCAATTGACAGGCTTACACACTCTAATTGTAACAATGACAAGCATTTCTGATAATTACTTTAGAATGATGGTGACAAGGGATAGCATATAGGTTTTTGGAGGCAAAAGGAAAGATTTTCTTCTAAAACTATCCAAATGTCTTTCCCAAAAAAACAAAAGAAAAATCAACACCAGAATCCAGAAAGTTTCCAGACACATAGGTGTCAGCATAGATACTGATGAATTATTTTACCTTCGCAGAGCTAGGGGATATTGTAAGAGCCCTGCTGGAATCTCGTAGACATTCCAAAAATAGTCCCATTTTCTGAAGATAACATAAAAAAATTAGTGAACAAAACAAAGATTGAAAAAATATATTAGCGCAAGCAATATATTTATCAATTTTCTTCGTCCTAAGTATACATTTCCTTTTTTTTTCCCTTATTTCCATGTCCTCCATGTGCTTAGAGCTACTAATGCACAATGGAAGCATTTCGATCAGTATGCAATTCCTTTTCTGCAGAGTATTCTTAGCTCATTCAACTAAGAAGAATAGTTTGGAAAACTAAACATCGATTAACCATCCGTAAGACCAAGCTTTGTTTAAACACAAAATAGGATATGAAGCATATTTTCCAGCCCTATGTCTAGAAAAATAAGCATGGTTAATTTGGTCTAATTGAAGTGCACATCCTCAGATTGAATATGACTCACATGCAAAGCTGATGCACGATTCACATATAGCATTCCAACCAGATTTTTCTCCATATCTTCAGCATCTGTTGGAGCAACGCGCAGAGCCTATTCCATCCATTCAAGAAACAAGAAGATCATGCTTAGAATTTATCATTTGAAGCACAATAAGTTGTTAAAGAAACGAAAGAAAGAAACACCATTACCTGAAGTCTTTACTGAATACTTGATAACAAAATGGCCCCATTATAAATAAATACACACAATTGAAATTGTAAGAAATAAGGTACACTAGCTAGAAATGAATATAGAACTCCCATTCGACTAATTCTTTTCCTTTTTTTTCCCTTTGTTCATTGTTCCTGTCTGGAATACATTTTTAAGGGCTAGTTTATTTTCATTCAAGTACATAAACACTAACATGAATCAATGATCAGTAAACAAATAAACTTGTGAAATTAATCTTTTTCATCCCTCTTTCTTTATCTTCTATTTAACCAACTTGTATCGCACTTCCAAGTAATAGCAGTATTACTATTTTCGTCAAATAAATAATAGTTCGTCAAAATCAAGTCAAGTCAACTGAATAAACCACCCATGCAACAGAATACTGGGGCCAAAATTTGTGCGTTTCCCTTTATTTTCTCCTGTCTCGAATAAGTTGTATAAAAAATTAAACTTTTTTTGGACCTGTGAGTAGAAATGCAAAGCATTTGGATAATCCCTTTTGGAGAAGCACTCATTGCCCTTTGCTTTGTCTTTCAAAGCAGCCTCCTTGTTCTTCGCGCATAGTCCCATTTCAGGGTCTGTCAAGTCTCTAACCATCTAAAAATAGCAAAAGTAAAATTAGTAACTAAAAGACAAACAAGTTGTATGGTTTCAGCTTTCATATGCAGCGTATAAATATAAAATATACATATATACACAAATACACGCGTTAATCGGGAAGTTGTACTTGGTGAAAGAGGGGCAAGTGGTTGAAGAATTCAAGGAGTGAACTGCACGTGAAAGACAGGTCATCGGGATTGCTTTCAGAAATTATCTGTTTTAGTGGGTCTGGAATTATTGATTTCAGCTTCTCCATGCCCACGAAACAAATTCTTCTTCTAGATGTGAAGCGATGCAATCTTAAGATGGCTGCTGAAAAAGTGATGTATAGATGTCTTCTCCGGCGAGAATTTCATCGGAGTTGCTACCCTCAAGAGTCCCTATTGTAACCGGTTCGGTAGGTTTGGTTTACAAAACCGAAATCGTGTTCACTACATGCGTAGCTTCTTTCTAAAGTGTGTTTTTTTGGTCCTATCTTAATTTATTTCCAATGGTGCCCCCAGGCCATTGACATGTACTTGTTTCTTATTTTGTTCATAATATGATTATAAATTTATGTTAATTTTATGAGTGACTAACATGATTGGGTTTTGATGCTTGTACAACACTTGCATACAACAAGTTTCACAACCATCTCACATGAGTGGGTCTCACGATTAATCGCGAAACCCATTACATGTGAGAAAACTGTATAAATTGTTGTACACCTAACATTATTCATTATGATTATATAATAATATCTTGATTTCGCAGCGTCGTAGCAATTTTAATATCTTCACAATCATATTGTACAAGTTGTACTGCATTGTACAGCAAACTATATTGACATATATCTTAATTATTATGTTACGTCTAGATTGAAAGCATTCGAAAGCAATGCAAGAGAATGGTTGAAATACAATTAATTTAGTTGTACAAAACAAGTTGACAAAAATGATTAACAAAACAAGTGTTTGTAGAATCTTGAACTTTAATTTCCAATTTTAAAAAGTGTTTTTAAAATGATTGGTGTAAATATTGTTTTGTAAATCAATTTTATCAACTAATTTTATACCAGTAACATGACTTGTTGAAATAAATGAAGCTTGAGTGTGAATAGGCAAGTAACAGTAAAGTTTGTGACTTCGTGATTCATGTATAAAAGTCTACGGTCTAACAATTTTTAGCTAGTCACATGTGGGCATATGGGCTAAGTTGAGCCCGGATGGACCATATCAACACGGCCCATTCTCACCACTACGTGTGTACTTTTCCCCACAATTGAAAGGTTTAAGACTCAACTCAATAAATATAAACAAAATAAATTAAGCACTTGTTTGTAGAAATTAAACAAATCGAAAACCTTTACTGCAATTGTTATTGAGGACTAATTTGCAAGTTGCAACAATTTCTAAACTTGGGTCCATGAATCACGAGTCACCACTCTCCAAGATACGTCAAACTTTTAACGTTTGACGGTGAAACACTCAATAATAAATAAAAAAACTCTCAGACGATAAGGTCTTCCTCAATTCTCGAATTCCGTAGACGGCCACAATAGGGCTTCTCTAAAACCCTCCTATTTTCACAGTTAAAGCTCCTTCTATCTCTCTATAGACGTATTGTGCTAATTATAGATACATTGTAAGTTCTTTTCTTTTCTTATTTTAAATTTTTGTTTATTTAGTTTTAGCAGAATTGCAAGATTTTTTTTTTTTTTTGTTTTTTTTTTTCACGTGTTTTAGGTTTATTTCGAAAAGGGTTCTTCTCGTACGGTTAGCTCCCAGTTGTTTGTTGCTTCAGTAAGTTTTTACATTGTGTTATAAAGGGTTGTTTTAATTATGTAATTTTGAATCTTTATCTTTGAGTATGAGGCTTTGGCTTTATTCATACCGGAATTTCCTTTTTTCTTTTGATAAATTATTTTTCTTTGTTGTTTCAACTGGCAGAGATAAATGGCCACACAACTAGTCAAAGAATGGACTGCAATTCAGCAGTTTCCTGCAGCCACCCAGGGCAGATTGCTTGAACTGTTGGGGAAATTAAAGCAGGAGGTTTTGGTTCTCCCTCTTAAATTTAGCATATTTTCACTACATTATGCAATCTTTTTGTCACTAAAAAATTGGGCTTGACTAGAAATAATTTCAGAAATTAGAAGCTCTATAATTTTACTGTGTGCAATTAGAAAAGAAACATATGTTTTACAATTACATCATGTTTCTAAAGTTGTTTTTTCTTCAATGAAATATGTGTGCTGTCTTGTTGATTGTGTATCGTATTGTATATAATGGGAATATGGGACTCTAATGCTATTTATAAATTATTGTAGAATGTCAGCACACTGACAATCCTTGTTATGGGGAAGGGCGGTGTTGGAAAATCTTCCACTGTGAACTCAATTATAGGGGATCGAGTGGTTACTATTAGTTCTTTCCAGGTACATATTACCTGACCATGGTTTTGAGAATGGAGTTCTTTTGTATAATTGGTGATGGTGATGCATGTGATATTTCAGTCAGAAACACCAAGACCAGTGATGGTTTCACGTTCCCGGGCAGGATTTACATTGAACATTATTGACACCCCAGGGCTCGTTGAAGGAGCTTACGTCAGTGACCAGGTGCTTGAGACCATAAAAAGGTACGAGTCAATCACTAGCCTATAACATTATAATGTCCCATCAATTTTTGTTAGTTTCACATTTCATCCATTAGCTTGTGTTTTTCTGAGTCCAGTTTGTTGTTTGTCGCAATGAATTTGCCTGTTGCTGTCTGAGCAGGTTCCTTTTGAATAAGACGATAGATGTTCTGCTCTATGTGGACCGTTTGGATTTGTATAGAGTAGATAATTTGGATAAGCAGGTTGTGAAAGCTATAACTGATAGTTTCGGCAAAGAAATATGGCGTAAAGGGATTGTTGTCCTTACACATGCTCAGTTCTCACCTCCAGATGGATTGAATTATGATGAATTCTTCTCCAAAAGATCAGAGTCTCTTATGAAAATTGTCCGACAGGGATCCCGGATAAGCAAAAAGGAAATTCAGGTTTGATTCATCCCTTCACTTTTACTATTTATCTTCTCTTTCAAGGCAAATTAACCTTTCTATGGTTAAGGAGGGAGTAATTTTTACTAGTGCAGAATTTGCTCCGTAGGAATGAAATAGTTTGAGGTTTAAGATCCAACATGGCTGAACATATATATTCCTGAATTTCGGAAAATTTCTTGAGGGAACCTGGGCAGTAATATAAATATTTTCTGTTCAACATATATATCCCTCGGTTTTTAATTCCATATAAATATTGAAGAGCAGTTTGTGGATAAACATGTGAACTTTGAAGCTTGATATTAAGAAAAAAGAACTGGTATGAACTTTGAAGCTTGATATTAAGAAAAAAGAACTGGTATCTAAGACTTAGAACAAGTTTTTTTTTCATGATCTTGTACTGAATAATTTTAAATATTCACGCACTTCTCAGATCTCTTTTGGAAAAGAAAAGGAGACCCTCTTCTGCTGAATTGGCTTGTTTGTTAACTTACTATGTTGATCGAAAAGTTTCTAATCCCGTACTAACAGCTAATACTTTGTCAAATTTTTTATATTGAATTAGAAAAATGAAAGTCTCCCATTGAAGGACGGACAATATACGTAGGGCTGGGCAAATCTCCCGAACCAAACCGACCGAATCGAACCCGACGGTTCTTGTCAAATTAAATACCCGAACGGGTAATTGAATTTAGAACCGACGGGTACGGTTCAGCTCTCGATTCTAGATCAAGAACCGAAAAATCGAATAAGAACCGAATCTTTCTAATTTTTTTTTTTTTATATTGAGTGAATCAAATTATTTTAATTTTAGTTTTTTCTAAACAAATTAACAAATTAACAATTTCTAAATCTAAAATTTTGGCCCAATAATTTGTTTCATTTCTAATTTTTAAATTTTTTGCCCAATTACCCATTTTATTATTTTATTTCTTAGCCCAACAAGATCCAATCCACTAAATAACCATAAATACCTACACTAAAGTGCATAACGTTGTCTCGACTTTCGCACTCACTCTCGCAGCCTCGCTAACATTCCAAAACCTATACAATCGTCGATCGACATTGTGACCTCCGATCGAAATTGTGACCTTCACCGATCGAAGCTTTGACTGTAGCGATAATTTGAATAAGGTAGTCTACTAGTTTCTGACATTCCAAAACCATTGAATGTATCATTAGTTGTATTTATATAATATTGTTATAAATGTTAAAAAATTTAATTATAGTACAAAACGGAACGGAACCGAACCGAACTGAACCGAACGGAACCGAACCCGAACGGTTCCATAATTATATTTGGACCGGACGGTTCCATTTATTAGATATCCGAAAATTTTGGTTCTAGAATCGAACCGACCCGCGCCCACCGCTAAATATACGTAGGGTCAATTGGATGACTAAGTTACTCTCTGTTTTCGGTTTTTATTTACAAAATTCTAAAACCTTAATGAAAATGTGCTTGCTTGGCTATGTTCAAAAGTCTTTCTGCTCTGTTACTCAAAAGGACTTAAATACACTGAAGTACTGATCATTAATTAGGTCCAGCCTTCAGTTCCCAATGTGGATCACATAAATCTCACATCATCCCCTCTCTTTCTCTCCCTCCTTGTCAATCACCAGTATGAATGCTCTGAATTCTCATTGCCACCGCACTTTCCACTGCACACACCATCCTTTTATATCTATGTTACGTCAAGTCTCAAGAATTTTGGACCAGAGCTGTAATCCCACTCTTTTTGGATCCACCATTACCACATCAGCAGAAACCGGCTACTGCTGTCTGACAGTTCTCACATGTAGCACGAGGGGAACTCAGGAAAACCCGTAAAATCGCCAACTATTCTAGGTATAAGCTTAGGCAAAGGAAAATAGATGATTTCTTTTTAGAGAATTGTGTATCTGATGCTACAATACTGATTCTTGCTCAAACACAGTTAGTGATATTGTCCTTGGTAAAATACTTTAGTGTACATATGCGGAAAACCTTTTCTCTGTGCATAAATCCCACTGCTTAGTAGTCTTGCATTTGGTGAATAAAAGAATTTATAAACATGGAGGATTGCATTGCATTTATTAGACATGCTATATTTTGGTCTTCTTTTGGTAAAAAAAAAAATCTAAAATAAATTTCAGTTCAATGTTGGAACTCAAAGACCGAAAGGGTTTTTATCTTGTCTATTCTTAAGTGATTGAAAAAAAAAAAAAAAAAAAAAAAAAAAAAAAATTCTAAAATAAATTTCAGTTCAATGTTGGAACTCAAACAAGCTGGTGACCGAAAGGGTTTTTATCTTGTCCATTCTTAAGTGATTATGATTTATACAAATTCTGATAATAGCTTAAAGTGTTGCTTTTGCCTTGTACTTTGTGGGAATTTGCAAAGTCGATTTTGATTTGAAGGAGTGCAGTTTGTATTCTCTTCTCCTGCACCCTGTGCGTGTCTTTTTCTCTCTCTTGCTGCTCTCTGTTTTTAGTCTTGTTATGTTCTTTTTTTCTTCCCGGTGACTATTACACGCTATATTTGGAGGTTGAACGGTGACAATTAATTAAAGCATGTTCTCAAGAGATTTCATTTCATGATAGAAGCAGTTGGGCGTCCTGACTTGAGACTATTCTACCAGACTGTTGAGATTTTATCATATTCATATTCTTTTCACGTTTTATATCAACTTTCTACATTATAATATTTCGAAGATGATAAGCACATGTTTCTGAAGAATGATCTTGGTAAATTTTTCCCTTGATTCTAACTTCATGTATTTTGCCATTGCTTCTCCTAGGATTCTCCAATCCCTGTTGTTTTAGTTGAGAACAGTGGGAGATGTAACAAGAACGAACACGATGAGAAGGTTGGCTTCTGTTGTAAATATTTTGTTATTGGTTATCTTATTTATTTTTAGATTTCTTTCACATTTATTCTTAAATTTTCGAGTTGATTTATTTGGATTGCAGATCCTTCCAACTGGAACTCCTTGGATCCCCAACTTGGTCCAAATTATCACTGATGTTGCCTTGAATCGAAGCAAGGGTATTCTTGTTGACAGGAAGTTGATTGAAGGGCCAAACCCAAATGATAGGGGGAAGTTATTTATCCCTCTCATTTTAGCATTCGAAGTAAGCTTTCGATTTTAACGTGTTTCCTTTTATGTTTGGCGCGGGAATGAATGGAACATCTCTTGATTATTTCTTTTACTTCTTAACAGTATTTCTTCGTTATCAAAAGGATTCAAAAGTGGATCAAGGACGATATTTCAAGAGAAACGAAACCTTCGTGGGAATGAATTGTTGTCACCCGCAGCTTAACTTTCTTCTGCAATTCGTGCTTTTTTCTACTTAGCCATCTGTTGTTAATCTTGCTGCATCTCATTATCAGTCTCTTTTATGCATTGTGTAGTGACAGTAACTTCATTGAAGGTATGAATTTATTTTTTTGAAGATTCGAATTTATCAGCCATATGATTTGTATTATTGTTTTACCGTTCTGAATACGTCGCGTAGTAACAATTTATCCTTTCACTCATTTGCAACGGTAGATTTAAATTTACTGTTTCGAGGAATCGAATTTTTACAGTGCAATAACTCTGTAAATTTATTGTGACTTTTGCATGGATATTTAAATCCAAAAAAGAAAATAAAACAAAAAAAACTTCGTGGGCCTGAAGACTGCTTACATGGGCCTTGGGTATTTGTTGTTAGCCCATATCTCTTTCTCTTGCCGTCCAATGTCAATCTCTCACTCGTCTTCCACTTTCCCTCGAAACTCCAATCTTTCATTGCATTGCACACGAGTACTCACCCTCCAAATTCAGAAAATCAGAAGGGAAAATGTTGAGACAGGCCCAAAGATTCCTCCTGAGCAGAGCCGCTATGAGGTGGCGACGCCCATTCTCCACCGATCTTGCGGAGGCACCCGCAGACTCGAAATTCGTTGACACCTGGAAGAAAGCGGTCCCGAACATTGACCCACCGAAGACTCCGTTGGCATTCATGACCCCTCGCCCACCAACCCCTTCGACCATTCCATCTAAGCTCACTGTCAATCTCGTTCTCCCTTACGATTCCCTATTATCCGCGAAAGAGGTATATTTTAGATTTATAAGAATAAATACCATATCTTTGCTTGTGCATATTATTTATGGGCGTCTTTATTTTCGTGGGTGCGTGAAGTATTCTGTATCATCGAATTTTAGTAGAATAGGAGTAACATGGCGATGTTACAATTGCTTTATCTTTGGAGATTTGAGAATAATCTGAAGTTTTAGGGCAAAGTAAAAGTTTCAATTTTTATATTGGATAACGGATAACATTACCTCAAATAATATAGATCGGAAGTGTAGATAAATGCAAAGATAGCCTCAAAATTTGTGCAGGTGCCTGGTTGAATTTACGCCTAAAAAAAGGCAATTACATACTAATGGACTATAGCAACAATGAAATGGGCTAATGTGTTACTCTGGCGCGTTGATATCTATCTTCTAAAATGTTCGAGAAACTTTTTTTTCTTCAAGCACTTAAAGGCAGGTCCGAGGCTGCAAGATATAATGCCATGTTTGGAGATAGATTCACTTTTGTTACTAGGGCTGTTCGGGTAATTGCTTTAAGCTTTGATATGGCCTGTCATGGACTTGGCTTCTCCAAGCATACGTGTCACTCTTAACTTCCAAAAACTGCCTTCTTGTAGATGTGGGGTGTGGATCAATTCCTTGCCAACTATGAATCCAATCTCTTTTTTCTGTTTGTCACTACCTAAGCAAGCAGATGTTTTAGGCTAATGGAAATATGAGAGTTTGAATGGTTAGGACATGAACAAGTAATATACATTTTAGCTGCTGCAATTCTAATTTGAATGTCTGAATGGTAAGGATCAACAACTAACTTCTAAAAGTATTAACACAATATTCTTGAAGTGTTTTTGACCTTATAATTTAGGTATAACATGCGTAGTAAGTACATATTTTAAATAATTTTTACTTTGTTATCTCTGTTTTTCATTTGTACAATCATAGTGTGAATTTCTTTACATTCAGCTGATGTAGTCTTTGGAATGGTCAGTAAATGGTATGAAGATATCCTCATCCAACCCTGGGCCTTCTATAAATTTTAATCATTGTGGAAAATTATTGGCTTCAGTTTGTTACCTGACTGGAAAACAATGTATTATCTTTATGGATCATACTGATCAATCAAGTGAAATTGGGTGTCTTGTTTCTCTACTAGCGTCTTATGTCAAGCTTTAAGTTTTTTTCCCTCTTTATGAGTAGATGGACTTTCTCATGGTGTCCTAGCTCAAGCTATACCCCTCCTTGATTGATTTTTAAACAATGTTTTTCCAAAAAAAATGGTCATCAAACAGGGGCTTAGTGCAAAAAAGTTTCTGCATTTGTGGATAAGAAGATAAATTTATACTACAAGAAAAAAAGCCTTGAATGATTTCAAAATTTCTATGAGTTATAGTTGAGCAAGGCAATTTCAACCTTTTGAGATCTGAAGCTCTCAAGGCTTGATAAGCTTTGGGACAATATAAGGGTCAGTTGATGTAGTATTTGGAGCAAATGCCCGCATTCCCATTATGATATACTGATCTTAGCGACAATGAACCACCGATCAGTTAAATTACCCCCTTCAGTAAGGATCTGAAAGCATAGATGAACAGTGCTGTAGTGAAGCTTTTTTCAAACATGCATGATTTCTCGACAAAGTATTAGAGCCTAGTCTTCTGTCATGTACCATGAAAAATTATTTCCCTGCTACTGTTAGAACATACTGTTACCCTAGGTACTACTTTTATATATAATCTTTAGATCTTTTCCAGTTTTCAACTGGACAAAATTATAATAGTACTTTCAAGTCTATGATGAAAATTGGTAAAGTGACATCAACATTATATGTTTAACATTGGTCAAGTGACAACAGCATTATATGTTTAACAAGCAACTATACAAGCTCCATGCTTTAGCCACGTGGATTCCGATAAAACTTACCAACTCATGGATAATTCTGGGTAACCAGGTAGTGCAGAGTCATCAATCTAATTTGATCTTTCGGCCTCTTAATGATAACTTTTGGAATTGTTATTTAGCGAGATCAAGTATCTAATGGTCCAAATTTGAAGTGAGTCTCCCATACCTCCAGTTAATTGAGTCCACAATCGACTGTCTTAAACTGAATATTATCCTTGAACTTTAAATACTTCCATAGTTTGGTTGATGAAATATATGAGATGATATGACCTTCTATGTGGTGTACATAATCGTATAGCTATCTCTAAATAAATTGCACCGTCTAGGAAAGTTTTAATAGTTGGCATAAGTAGAAAGTGTGGAATTTATTATAGTACCCTCTTAGTGTTGGGCTATAAAAATAAAATATCTGTAAAATAATCTTACAAAATGATAAGCTAAGATGTATGCATGGTACAAATAAGACTCCCTTGTACAAGAGCGACACAATCTCAGTTGGACAAATTGGGCTATAGTCCTTTAGTTGTTAACGGTCTAGTTTTTTAGCCCTCGTTTGTTTCCTATTTTTGAAAGAATGAAAATGAAAAATATAGTTGTTACGAGCCCCACACAAGGGATAAAAATTCAAATTTGGTGGCTTGATGTGATGGATAACGATCATATTTTTCATTTTAATGAGGAAAGAATGGAAAACAAACGGGGAGTAAACTGAATAAACCTTTTTACGTAGCTCAACTTAATTTTATGGGGAAAACTCTTACTTCGTCTTGGTTTGTCATGTTACAGTGGTCTCTCTCTCATCCTTGTGCGTGTCTTTTCAGGTTGATATGGTCATAGTCCCAGCTACAACTGGGCAGATGGGTGTTTTGCCTGGCCACGTTGCTACAATTGCTGAGCTGAAGCCCGGTGTGCTATCGGTTCATGAAGGTAACGAGGTAAAAAAATATTTTCTCAGCAGTGGGTTTGCTTTTATCCATGCAAATTCTGTTGCGGATATAATGGCCGTTGAGGCCACACCACTCGACCAAATTGATTCGAGCCTGGTTCAGAAAGGCCTCACGGAGTTCACACAGAAACTAAACGCAGCATCGACCGACGTGGAGAAGGCCGAAGCACAAATCGGGGTTGATGTACACAGTGCCCTCAATGCTGCTCTCGCTGGTTAAGACTAGAAGAGAAGCAAGTCTTCAGTCCATTTAAATTTTCTGTTCTTTGTCGTCTGCCTGATTTTTTTCTTGTTTCCGTGTTTTTAATGCTGGTTTCCATCTCATTTTAAACAAATTTCTCGGAGGCCTGATGTAAAAGAATTTCTTGAAATAATTATGCAAACGAAGTGGATAGTAAATGTTTTTCTTGAACATGTGATACATGCCAGATAATTTGACTGAATTTCAGGTTTTTTGCCAGTATTTTACTTGAACACGTTTTTATTGTTCATGGGATGTGTTGGATAGTCAGTACTAAAAAGCAACGTACCACATTTTAATTTATATTTTCTTCTCTAATCCCGTGTTGGTGTTATCCAATTTGTCGGTACCAAATGAAAATGTGTCATCATCATACAACGTCTGAGGATATCATCGTATAACGTCTGAGGATATTTTGTAATCAATAATACTACTAGTGCAATTTTTTTTAACAATATTGGTTGACAACTAACACTTGATAATATTTCGTTCATCCATTTTAAAAATTATTTCTTAAATTAATGGTCCAAGTTTTGATGTTATCAAACATGATTATTATCAACAATTGAACAAATAGATTAATTTTCTTGCAATTGTAACAAGCAAAAGCACATATCAAGTGGTCAAGTCGACAATAAAACAAGTTACCTTTCCCGATGGAGAGAGAAAAATATTGAGGGTACATTTTGTATTCAATATTAACTCACTCCCAATAACATAACTTGTTCGTGTTAAGGTTAAAAAATTCAATGTATAGGCACAAAAAGAGAGAGAAAAACAGAACAAGATACAAAAATGAATAAAGCTACTCAAACATGGGCATTTTACAGAGTTGGGTGATAGGTGCCGCCGCCACTCGAACAATGGGCATTTTACAGAGTTAGGTGACACGTGCTGGCAACACCTGTTTGGTTTTTTCTTTTTCTTTTTTTTTTTCCCCTGACTGTCAAATGAAAAAATGCCACATGTTCCCCTATTAACTTGTTCATGTAGCAGGGATGTACAAAAATTGATTTTCACTATGCTTTTAGTCCAAGGAAAAATTTCAATACAATATACAACAATAGCAATTCGTAGTAACACAATAAAGTTCAAAGTAATTGAACCCAGAAGTTGCAATTTGCGAATTAATGGAATGAAAATCAAGAACTGCATATATTTCATGCTTCAAAATAGATTAGAAGCCAAAAGCTGGATTGGCACTTCACTTGTTGCAGAAGAAACGTGTCCTTCGTATGCAGAACTCATAGCGAAAACGGCTTTGTATATACATCAAACGGTTCATTCGCAGTAAGTTGTGGTTCCTGTAGTCAAATGAAGCTCAAATTCTAAGAAATCCAAAGCAAAAGCAACTGATGATTGTTGGATATTGGTTAAATAAATTGAGAATTGAAAATCGATTAAAGTTCGTATCGAATTTGGCCAAATACTCAAAAGCTCGACTCAATCCGTTTAGGCAAAATTGTTTGCCACTTCGCCGCTTCGGGGCGCACAAACGGGGATCGACCTGCCCGGTCAGGTCGCGAGGGTCGAGGGGGCAGCGCCCCTCGTGGGGGGTCGGGGGCAACGCCCCCGAAAGAGAATTTTGATTTCTCTGCATGTATTGAAGGGTATATTTGGCATTTCGAAAACCAATATCGGATGAATGAGAAATTACGAAAAAGACCTCAACCATTAGTGAATAGACACCTTTTCATAAAGGTGCATTGTTTGGAAATGGTGCATGGTTTGGTCTCAACCATTTCGTCCACACCCCTTCATGGTCTATAAATAGGACCCTTTGGGTGTCCTATTCCTCACAGTTTGATATGCAAAACGTTTCTCATCCTCTCTTCTATCCAAAATCAAAATCATTTCGTTTATTTTGATTTTCTTTCATTTCATCCTTGGAGTACATAAGCCTAAATTGGTTCGTTGTACTTGTGTTTTGGAGTGCTACAAACACAAGTGTAGCCGTTGTATCTTGGGAGTCGATTGCCGAAATCCGTAGGCACCGTTGCGGGGCAAATTCGACTTAAGGACAAAGAGTCCAACTCTTGCCTCGGCTTTGTCACCATCATTATACTTATTTCAGCGTCACTATTCACAAAATTCATCCAACAATGATTACAATAACATATGCAGACATTCGATCGAATAAAAGAAATGCAGAAGTCCTAAATACGGAATAGTCGAGAACATACCTGTGTCATTCCGATACCAGCGCTTCCCCCTGTCACGAGCATTGTCAGAAGTGTTGTCACAACACTCCCTCCTATCTCATCATCAGTCCTTCGGATGGTAGATCGCATTGCACTTAGAATACTTCCATATGTATTCCCTTGCCCACGTTCGATTGCTTGAATGAAAGCATAAGTCATTGCACCTGTTGAAGTAACCTTAGATAGAGCCTGTCCAATGTTCAAATAGTATCAGTTTGTGCTTTCATCAACCCATTAATTTCTAGTAGTTGCAAAAAATGCTTCGAGTTCAGAGCCACAAATATAATCCCGTTACAGCTTGACTTAACTAAGAATAAAATCTTGAACATAAAGAATAAGGCTTACAGCAGTATCTGCAGAAGTTTGATCATCGTCACAGCCACTGAAGGATATGACTTCTCCTCCGTTAGTTCCTTTCCAAGCACCTGATCGGGGACGATGATCCTCCCATGAGTATCTACCCGTTCTGCAACCACACATACATATTTTTCAATTCAGAATGAGCATGAAAATGGTTATAATAGATATTAATCTTCACACTGACCTCTCCATTCGACAAAGAAATGGTAAATCTAGCATGGTACCACTATGACAGGAATCTATGATCGCATGAAGTTTGACTCCACGAGGAAGAGGCCTAACGATAGTTGCATTAATTTCATCATCTACTATCATTCCCTGTGTTTCGAAATCCAAAGGACAAAGTGTTTCGTCATAGCCATCAATCTCGTCTCCAGTGTAGTTCCTCTGTTGCGAACCATGACCAGAATAATGAAACACGAGGGAATCCCCCGGCTGACAACCTTGTACAAGCCAAGACATTGCCATCCTAATGTTGTGCTTTGTCGGAATTTTGTATCGATCAGTTTCTTCTTCTGAAAAAATACTTCCACAAAATGATTTTGATTAGATTAGCAAAATAGTATACCTATCACGGAAATTATATTCAAGGCCCTGTTGTGGATATTGTTGTCGTCTAAGCTAACATGAAGATCCTTTCAAACTCTTCAAGCCTAACAGGAAACTACACTAAGATTCTTTACTTTAGGGACCTACCTTTACGGACTTTATGATTCTTAAGAGTTCAATATCCAGTACAGAAGCTTCAGTTCTTGTGATTGAAGACATTGCAAAACTTGAGCTTCAGAAAGTGAAACATAGGCAAGGAATCAAGTTCCTCTAAAAATGAGTTTCTTGTGAGATGTTTCCAGCTTCTTTCGAACCTTTTGTTTTCGTTGTGGATTTGGCTGTCTGTCCGTCTTTACATCTTGTAAATCCGGGGTTTACACACATTGAAGACTAAATTTGGTCTCAGTTTGGTAGCCATTAAAAAGAGTTGTTTTTTGGAAAAATAAGTTTTAAATAGTGATTTTTTGAGTACGTGTGGCTAAAAAAAGAAGAAAAAGTTATGAACTTACGCGCAAAATATTTTATTGTGTGAACTTGTGATTGAACATGAGTCCGAGAAAAAAATGAGTTTTGAAAAAATGAATGACAAATCCCGGATGCTTTCTCTATCGGCTTAAGTTTTAAACAAGTGGTCTACGCCAAGGCCCAGCGCGACCCTAGTTTCTTGATGAACCTGGTAGCTTAGTTCACACAATCCCACCACTCAGATGGGTCGTCGGACAAGATTTAACCAGTACATTCATATCTTTAGGAGGAGAATTAAGAGCCAAATTTAACCAGATTGTGGTCGATTTTGATCGAACTCAGGACAATGTCAATTTGACTAATTCGCAAGAAGGCATTTTATAATATAAAGATATTTAAATTATAGTACTCAAAATTAAAGGTTGCGAAAATAATTCTACATTCCAATGAATCCAATCTGATTATTTTAAGAAGGTTATTTTGGGGGGAAATCCCAATATAAGAGCTCTTTACTCTAAATTTTCTGGCATTTTTTTAACCCAAGAGAACAATAATATAAAAAGTCTGGCGTTGAACAACTCGCAAAATTCATGTTCAATAAGTCAATCCCATAATGATTCATAGATTCATCAAAGATTATTTATGTATGCGTGAAGCTGCAATATATCTAATCTAAAGTTTCCAAATTTAATTAATTTTTTTTTTTCTTTTGAGTTTGATTACCAGTAAGCATAAGAATGGAGGCTTCAGGGAACCTGAAGCGGTTGACCAGCATGAACTTCATGCACTTGGCATCATTAATACAACCCTTGAGCTCATTCTTCGAGTTCTTGTACGAGATCCCGATGATGACGGCCTTTTTGTGGCCATGAGCCGACGGAGGTTGACTTGGTGGAGCGTGGGTGTACTGCGTTGGGGCAGGAATAGGTGCCGGCGGCGGAGCATAATAGTTGTAGTTGTTGCTGTAGGTGGCGGGACGTGGAAAATAAGGTGGTGGCGGAGTAGGTGGCGCGTTGAGGAGTTCTCCGATGAGAGTGATGGCGTGGCAGACTGCACAGCGTATGGATTTTGCTCCGTGTGGGAGCTGTAAGGGGGTGCGGCACTGGGAACAGTCCACAAGCATCACCATTTTTTCAAGAACGAGACAGAGAGAGTGTGTGAGAGTTAAGAGAGACGGCGAATGTAGTGGAGGGACAGATAGAGAGATATATCAAAGAGGAAGATCTACGCGTTTAAAGGTCAATCTACTGTTGTGCCTTAGAATTGTAAGACGTAGGGGATGCACATTGGACGACGGACCTCAACTTTACACATTGTTTATCTTTGACACATCTAATTAAGTTGTGGTATATCGAATTATTGAACAAGTTGGTTGATTAGGTGAGTGAGGAAACATTTGATCACGAGTTCGATTTTCCTATCAACATTTTTTCGGTCAAGTCTATCTCACGGGATTTGCCTAGTACGATTTACCTAACGTGGCTTGCAGATTATTACATCAGTTCGAGAGTTTATCCAGTACGCACCCTAACGACTACGAGTTCCACCGTCATGAAAAAAATAATAAAAAATAGTGTTAAAGTTTTACTATTTGTTTAGAAGAGATGATGTGTTTATGTATTAAAATGAAATGAGGGAGAGTCGAAAAGTCAATAAATTAGTGGTAACAGATCTCAACTCATATCAATAGAGCGAAAGTGCCATTAGCTTTAATATACTATTTCAGTAGCAAGTTGTTCTTTTGCATTATAGTGTTACGCATCAATTCTCAATGATAGAAATCGTCAAAATTATTATTATTATATTATGTAAATCTCGTAGAAATATATCTCATCTCAACTCTAAGTACTAACTCAAATTGAGAAGTAACAAATTTAGAGCCTCTTTGAGTCCCTTTTTTTGTCCAAAATGCATTTTGAAATATAATTCTAATAAAATGTGTGGTTGAAAAAAAAAAAGAATTTTGGATTTGTCTATATTATTATTTTATTAAAGAATGCGTGATTAAAAATAAAAGAGAGAAAAAATGTATTTTGAAAATAATAGGAACTAAACGACGACTTAGTTTTATAACTTGAACATATGAAAATTATGTGACAAATTAACTATAAATTTGGACGTTCTCGTCGTTGTACAATGCTTGTGTAAAAATTATATTAACTTAATGATCAAATGTGATATGTCTCAAGAATGTGTCTTTACCTTTTCTTTTTCTTATTTTAATTCTTTTCTATATTGACTATAAATTTCCTCTTCGACCAACAAATATATTGTCCCCATTTTTATTTATTTAATTATATTTTTCACTTTTCATCTTACTTGAACAAAAGAAACTAAGGGTCTGTTTGATAGGTTTCAAATTCCATTGATTTTTCACCTTTTGATGTGTTTGATGCGCAACATTTTCCATAAAATTTGTTTTTCCTCCCAGCCACCCGCCCACCCACGTGACCCCCTTTTCCATGGTTTGAAGGAATTGGTCTTCCTTTGGTTTTGGTGGAAATTGCAATTCTAGCTTCTTCTTCTTCTTCTTTTAACTTTTTATTTTGGCAATGTAACAAATTTTATCCACAATTGTAACAAATTTTATCCATTTAATTGACAATTTTTCAGGAAAAAAAAGTCAAACGAACACCAAAAGATATGAAGCCATTGTTTGATCCCCATTCTTTGGAGAAAATGAATTCTTTAACAGTGTTTTAACATAATTTCAACCACATATTTTTTAATAAAATAATATTATAAGTAAATTTAAAATATTTCCTTATTTTTTAACCACACATTTCACATCAATACATTATTCAAAAATTCATTTTTCACATCAAAATGGGGCTCAAACAAGGGCAAAATGTCAACATTTTTCATATGAAAAATTATACCAATCAAACACATTTAATTAACAATTTCTATAAAACAAGTTCTACGCAATTCAATTCCTGAATTCATTTTTTTCCACCCAAATTTCATTCTTACAATCAAATGGACCATAATATAATTGTCTCTCCCATTTTGTTGTCATTTTCCTCTTATTTCTTTCTGTTGTCTTCTCTCTTCCTCCCAAACCTAACACGGTAAGAGAAAAAATTATCTTTATTTGACTTTTAATTACTAATTAATTACCCTCAAATTGTCCTGATTAAGTTTAAATAAATTTTTTTTTCTAGATGAAATCAATAAACAACCATAACAAATTACTATCTATTGCATAGTATTTAACGGTTGCATCACATTGATTTGATTAATTAAGACTCAGTAAAATAATTTTAAACATCTTTATATCAATATAAAATGTGTTTTGATCGCCTAACTCTTAATCGCATTGAGAAATAATGGTTCAACTGATTTTCCTTTTCACAATCTTTATTTGGGAGGATGAATTTCGGTTAGAGGTTGGAATCTTCCATGAATTAGATTTAGGATAAAGATGTTTGTACCGAGAGTCGAGGGGAGTGTACCAAGCCGTTTACACCCCCCTCACAAACATGCGAGCCCCATGTATAATTTAATAATCTAAACCGAGGTCTCACTCAAATGACGTGAGTAGTAGGTAAACGATTAGGTAAATGATTATGTACATGTAGCATGTATATCATGTTATTGATATGATTTAGCAAAAGCAAGAATGATGACGATGCAAGAATCCAACTATGCAGGCCTATTTCTAAAGTCAACATCAAAGTCTATCCCCCTCATATATGTGAATATCTTATTTTTTAAGAATTTATTTATTTTAATTAAAAGTTTACTTTTCAAAAAATTAGCGGCCAGTCGATTTTACAAAATGTGTAATTAAAATTAATGTTTCTATTCAAGTTTTTAGGTGAAATTTTTGAACAAAATTTAAGTGACGGGAAGTATAAGCATTAAGCAGTACAAAGTGAAACAAACTTAATAATCTTGTTTGGTGAGTATTAAAATCATAAAATGTATGGTTGGAAATTTATCAATCCCATAAAATAAATGGTTAAAATTAGTTAATTGATTTTGACAAAAGTTAAACCCCTATTTTGCTACATTATTTCACATTATAATTTTTCTTTCACTTATTTTCAATCACACAATCTTTTATAAAATAATATTACATGTAAATAAAAAAAATTCCTTCTTTTTTAACCATATATTTTTCAAAAAATACTTTTTTTTTAAATTATAATACTAAATAATGGCCAAACGGGAGCTAAAAGTTCTACTAAACATGACTAAGCCCCTGTTTCATCCCCATTTTTGGGGAAAAATGTATAATGAAATAGTGATTTATTGAAAAATGTGTGGTTAAAAAGTAAGAAATTTTTTTTGAAATACGTGTATTATTATTTTATAGAAAAATGTGTGATTGAAAATGAAAAGTAAAAAAATACATTTTTATAAAAATTGGGATCAATCAGGGGCTAAAGGAATGTCTCTAAAGTATAACCCCCTTCTTTCTTCTCTCAAGACCTACCTAATGATAACCTATCCTAACACGGCCTAGTGCTCAACTTTGATCAACAAAAACTTTATTTTTTAAATCTACTTTTTCTTTTTAAGAAAATCTTCTAAGCTTAGCCAAGCAAGCAATTTCGAGAAAGTTAAATTTTCAAAGTTCAAAATTTTAGAAGGATAATTAGCACAAAACGTCCCTATTTTTCGATATTTTTGTGGAAAACGTCCATACCTTTCGTTTTTTGGGGGATTACACCCTCATCTTTACCTTTTTTTGTACAAAACGTCCTTCTGTTAACTCTCCGTTAAAATGTTCCGTTAAATCAAAAGGTAATTAGCACAAAAGGTCCCTACCTTTCAATATTATTGTGAAAAACGTCCATACCTTTCATTTTTTGGTGGATTACACCCTTACCTTTACATTTTTTTGAGCAAAACGTCCTTCTGTTAACTCTCCGTTAAAATGTTCCGTTAAATCAAAAGGTAATTAGCACAAAAGGTCCCTACCTTTCAATATTATTGTGAAAAACGTCCATACCTTTCATTTTTTGGCATAATTAGCACAAAAGGTCCATACCTTTCAATGTTATTGTGCATAACGTCCTTACCTTTCATTTTTTAGCATTTTCACCCCTACCTTTCACCTTTCATTGCGAAAAAGGCCATTCTCATCCATTTTTTCAATAAAATGACAATTTTACCCTCCTATTCAAATAAAACAAAAAGAAAAGAAAAGAAAAATAATTAATTAATGTAATCATAGTCATAAATCTTTCAAAACATTACGGATAAATTCTAAACTTTCCACTACCGCCACTTTCATAACCCTACCAAGCCACCACCTATAGATCCATTTAGTACTACCTTTTGGCCACAACACCTATCGGACTCCACCACCACCAGCCTCGCCTCACTCTTTCCAATATCTTCCTCATAGTATTGGTCACCAATCTGTCCAAAACAACCACATTGACAGTGGCAGAGTCTGGTGGGAATGGTGGCAGAAAGGTGGTATTATGTTGATTTATAGTTGGCAGCTTGATAGGTTGTGAAAGTGGCGGTGTTTGGGAATTTATGATTTCTTTGTAATTTTTTAAAAATTTAAGGACTATGGTTGCAGTTGGTTGTTCATTTTTTCTTTTTGTTTTATTTGAATAGGAGGGTAAAATCATCATTTTATTGAAAAAATGGACGAGAATGACCTTTTTGGCAATGAAAGGTGAAAAGTAGGGGTGAAAATGCTAGAAAATTAAAGGTATGGACGTTTTGCACAATAATATTTAAAGGTAGGGACATTTTGTGCTAATTATGCCAAAAAATGAAAGATAAGGACGTTTTGTACAATAATATTGAAAGGTAAGGACCTTTTGTGCTAATTACCTTTTTGATTTAACGGAACATTTTAATGGGGAGTTGACAAAAAGACGTTTTGTGCAAAAAAAGGTAAAAGTGAGGGTGTAATCCGCCAAAAAAAAAGGTAGGGACGTTTTCCACAAAAAAACATCGAAAGGTAGGGACGTTTTGTGCTAATTACCCAATTTTATAACATATAGGAAAAAAATATGTTTTGAAATAGTGATTTTTTTTTGGTAAAGAAAAGTTATGAATTTACATATAACATTATTTTGCGCACATTTGATTGCCATTATAAAGAGAAATTGAGGAAAACTGATGTTTGGAATAACAATTTTTTGGAGAATGTGTAATTAAAAAGTAGTAAAAAATCTTGAATTTATAGATAAAATATGTAATTGTGTGAATGGGTAGTTGAAAATAAGTATAAGAAATAAAAAGTTTTAATTTAAATAGAGTCAAACATGGCATGGTTATTAGAACCGACCAGGTAGTCAACTTGGAAAAATCTTCGGATCGTCGGATCAATCGTTCAATCGGAGGGACGGGGTCGGTGGTTCAACCTTTGAGTTATTGCTAAATTGTAATTTTAATTATAATATATTTAGGAAAGAAAACATTTTGTTAAATCTAAATGCTTGTTTGGTAGGGATTTAAGCCAATTAAAATAATTTTTTGACCTTTATTTCAATATTTCAGTAGTTATTTTTGAATTATTCTCTCACATGTAAGATCTACTTTATCTCTAACGGTTAAAAATCAATTCTCAAAATCGCCACCAAACAAGCATTAAATATCTATATTTCGCGCACATCATATTACAAAGATTCTAATTTCCATAATGGTCGAGGCAATGAAATTATGTGTTCAAATCATAGCCATTGCAAATTAAAATTAAATTAAATTTCTATACTTGACTTTGGTAATCATTCGGTTAACACATTGACCCGGTTTTGATTTCCTCTTAGACTAGTTCGGTTTGTATGGTTATTGAGTGGTTTTATTGGTCCCCTTGCTTGCTAGACCAATTAATGCACTAGGATCAGACCACTATTCAATTTAACGGTTTCCTCAATCGATCCAATCCGATTTTAATAATTATGAAAGTGGAACATGGGCTTCATTTCATGAGAGAATGTGTGGTTAAAAATGAATTTTAGAAAAACGTATTTTTTACCAACCATGGGCATAAAAATGCATTTTTGAAAAAAATGGAACCTAAATAAGGGCTATGACCATGTTTGGGCAAAATTAAATTTTAAGGGAAAATGCAATTTAAAATTGTGATAAAATGTATAATTAAAAATAAGTAAAAGTTTTAAATTTACCCGTAATATTATTTTATGAAAAATGTGGCTGAAAATTAGTTTTGAAAAAATGAAGCCCAAATAGGGCCTACCCCTGTTTGAGCCCCATTATATAAAAACTGATTTTTAACTATACATTCGTCTAATAAATAATTTTATATGTAAACATAAAAAAAGTTCTTACTTTTTAACTACATATTCTTCAAAAATCATTATTAAAACCAATTTTACTCAAAGATTGGGGCTCAAACAACCTTTTTCACCTCTTTTATTCATAGTACAAGAATTTTTACAAATTTTCAATATATAATAAGATTAATAAAATCCAACCATATCAATCCTAACAAATAAAATCATATTAGAATGTGTAAAACAAAATGAACATTTTAATTCTGTCCCAAACAATATACAAGTTCAAAAGTTGCTCCTATATTTCAATGATTCCCATTTTTGTGTTTTTTAAAGTATTTATTTCCCCCCTGAAATTGTTATTGCACATATTCCTATATTCCCAAATAATTATCCATAAATCTGCCACACGATCTTCACACAACGAACATTTATTGTGGCGAGGTGTTGGTTTGGTGTCTAGTTGTCAAAAAATTATCTTCTCTTGTAAGATAATTTGAATAAATATATTATTGAAAGTCAATCTCATTTGATATTCGAGACCTTCAAATTCAAGAGTTGAATGCTTTTTGATTATCTGATCAAGATGAAACATTTACAATGATCATTGGATAACAATAACATTAACTATGAGAACAAAATTAATTAGTAAAAATCGTTATGCATATAAAATACTATGGAAGCATGGTGATCTCCTCCAACAATGGAGTAGAAGGTCATAAAATATATGTAGAATTGATTTAAGCAGTGTTGATTTTTAACAATGTTTCTATGAAAATAGGCCTACGATTTGTCCATCTTCCTTTCGGCTTTTAAACCAAGCTAAGAGTCCCCTTTCTCATATTAGAACATCTCCAATAGTGCTCTAAATTAGATGTAAATTATGGTTTAGATTTTCAAAGTTCCTGAAAACCTTTTCAATTAAGATATGTAAAGTGCATTTTTCGACAGAAAAATAAAAAAAAAATATAAATTTATATCTATCCATGGAACCTACAAGAGAAAAAGCTACCCATCCACTTGCACTCAATTTTTTTTAGATATTCTCATTGAAGCAGAATGTGGATTTAGGTCCACTGTAATGTAGATGGGGATGTAAAAATGTTTTTGAATGTAACAATTTACTCTAAATTTCACACGATTATTGAAGACGTTCTTACCATCGTTAAAACTATTTGCGTTCTTTTCAAAAATAAAAAATAAAGATTGTGTACTTATGTAATAGTTGAGTACGATGTGAAATCTTTTAGTCCTTCCATTTTTGTTTGAAGTTCAACTACGAGAAAGACAAGAGAGCTTTAAAAAGAATTACAAGGCGAGGATTGGAAGAAAAGATCCCCTCATTTACCTGAGAAACCTTCGAAAAACCTTACTTTAAACTATTTTAAAATGAGGCGGATAATTGTTCAACCTAATTTTGCATGGATTCATGATAAAATTAATTGTTGATTTGGACTTAAAATTTAACAACTTTTAATTCATACCAATCAAGGGTTTAATAGTATGATCTAAGTTTTTTTTATTATTTGAAAATTATTTATTTATTTTTATCAGATCGATCCCGATTCGACCAGGTTCTACAAATAAAAATAGTGGGTAATGGGGATAGAGAGAGAAAAGGTTGGGGACCTTTCAGGAACTTACCCTAAAATTATTTCCCCTTCAATTTACCCTCTCTTTCCCTGCAGAATCGAAAATTAATCCTCAGAGCGTGCTGCCGGGCAGCGAAAGAGAGCCTATTTCTCTACAGGTGCAGTATTTTACTTGCCGTTTTTTTCATTACAGTTACAATATTACTCTTTCGATGTGCCTTCTGTGTAAAATCTTGAATACATTTTTAGTGGCAAATTGGGATGAGATTATTATTATTCGTTTTGCTAATTTTACATTATCTAGGAAAAAAATAGATGATAATTACAGTCGAAGAATTCTGGAATAAGAGTTTCGTATTTATTTATATTTTTGATGAATAACACTTTCATAATCCTCTTGCAGAAAAAGATCTATTTTGTTTGAATATTGTAGTAATGGAGGAAGAAATGTCCAATTCAATCCGTCGCATGTCTACTCGAAGTCGAAAGGTTGCTCCGAAAATGGCTGCCGCCCTTGCCAGCAGTGATAATCGCACTCAGGTCTATCTATAATTATTTATTTCAGTTTAAAACGATTTTGATTTTTCTTCCATCCAATAATTTTGGAGCTTGGCTGTATGTGAATATTCCACGATCATAACAAAATGTAGGCAATGCTGGCTCGCCTTGAAGCCTTGGAAAATGATAATGCTGGAATGGAGATGGTGCAAAATGATGATGACGATGAAGCATCCCTTGATGAAGATGATCAAGGTCAGTTGTGTTTCTTCCTCTCTCTCTATATATATATTATTATTATTTATTATTATTTTTTTCCCCCCGTGCTCGGGCGTTTTGGGGTTTGCACATATATTTCTATAGAAATGAACTTGAGTCCAGCATGCTCTGCACGTTCTGTTAATCCTGTTTTAAACTTGTTGTTACGGGTAAATATAACCTGTATAACACTTAGGGCCCCATCAGATCTCTGTTAACAGTGAAATTCTAATTTCATTTTTGAGAACCTCTGAAATGAAATGATTAATTACTTGTGCTTTTACTAAAAGGAACAGCAGTGACCTGGATCAGTTAGATCCGCTGTAACATGAATGTGAAAACAATATCGTTTGACCCAAATTACACCTAGAAGGAGGGGGAGGGGGTGAATAGGTGATTATATGGAATTTAAACTAGTTAATTAATAAATGCAACAAGTCACACTTATTAAATCATCCAGAACAACCACAAGCACACTATCATACAGTTAATTGCCACAATATAGTAAATTGCAGAAAGTAAATAACACGAGAGATTTGTTGATGGAGAAAACCCCTTGCGGGATTAAAAACTCCGTGCCAAAGCCAGTATGAATCCACTATAAACGATTAAACTTCCACTACTGCCAGACTCTATCAACACTAGAGTTTTCTGACATCCTGACTACAATTTTCCAAAGCCCTCTTGGAGTGCGTGCTCATGCACCAACTCCCGACTTCTTGAGTTCGTTTATCTCCTGCGGATTCCTGAGAACTCCTCGTTCTCCCTCGATCGTAACTCCGATCACCTTCCTCGATCTTCAACCATTTGACAGATGTTTGGAAGTTTTATTTTTAGTGATTGATTTGTGTGTTTGATGTTTTCTTCAATAGCAACACTCAAGCAAAGTAGGATTGAAA